CGCTTCGCTCCTTGGTCGTGACTGCGACATGGCTTTGGCTGGTGGAGCCAACGTCATGACCGGTCCGAATCTCTGGGCAGGCCTCAGTCGAGCTGGCTTCGTCTCCCCTACGGGCTCCTGCAAGACTTTCGACGAGACCGCCGATGGCTACTGTCGCGGGGAGGGCGTTGGCATTATTGTTCTCAAGCGTTTGGAGGATGCGATCCAAGCGGGAGACAACATCCAGGGCGTTATCAGGGGTATCGCGACGAACCACTCGGCGAACGCCCTGTCCATCACGCAGCCTCACGGCCCAACGCAGAAGAAACTATACAACCAGGTTTTGCGTAAAGCCAATCTGACACCCGACCAAATCCAATACGTCGAGATGCATGGAACCGGAACCCAGGCTGGGGACGTTACCGAGATGAACTCGGTCGTGTCAACGTTTGCATCCGGTCGCGAACCTACGAACCCTCTCTACGTTGGCGGCATCAAAGCCAATGTCGGTCATGGCGAAGCAGTGCGTATATCTCAAACCCTTTCCATAAGTTCAAAGCGTGCTAACCTCTGCTTTCTAGGCAGCTGGCGTTACTTCTGTTATCAAGGCACTGATGATGTTCCGGGAGAATGCCATACCTCCTCACGCTGGGATCAAAACTAGAATCAACAGCAAATTTCCCCCGCTGGAGAAAGCTAACATTCACGTTGCTCGCGAATTGAAACCTTTCATGACCGACAAAAAACCAAGAAGAATCATGATCGGCAACTTCGGCGCGACTGTAAGTTTTGGGTTTCATCTATCTTTGTGTTATTGAATGTGGCACTAATAGCGACGCACAGGGTGGCAATACTTGCATGGTTATCGAAGAGCCGCCTCGAAGGTCTATCGTCGGCAAGGATCCTCGCAACGTCCAAGTTGTTACAGTTTCGGCAAAGACCCGATCTTCGCTCAGAGGCAACAAACAACGGCTCCTCGACTACCTTGTCAGGTATCCGAACTTAGGACTCGAGAACATCGCGTACACTCTGACCGCACGTAGGTCCCATCAGCCTCTGCGCTCATCATTCTGCGCATCGAGTGTACAAGGCCTCATCAAGGCACTTTCCTCAGACCTTGGCAGGACCACCGACGTCGTCAACAGCGTCGGCCAGGGCTCCATTGTGTTCGTCTTTCCGGGACAAGGGGTTAAGTTCTTCGGCCTTGCGAAGAATCTTTATGGTTCATGCCCGCAGTTGCAGCAGTCGATCTTGGAACTCAACAACATCGCCAAGACCCTGGGCCTGCCGCCGTTCATCGATCTCATTCTCAGAGAACAGTCGAACGGAGCCAGCCCAACGCGCACACATCTCGCCATCGTGGCTCTGGAGATTGCAATCGCTCAGCTTCTCAAGTCGTGGGGCATTGTTCCCAACGCCGTACTCGGCCACAGCTTGGGCGAGTATGCGGCCCTCTGTACAGCAGGTGTGCTGACGATCGCCGATACTCTTCTCCTCGTCGGTCGGCGGGCTCAGTTGGTTGAGAAGCTGTGTGTGAAAGACACCCATGGTATGTTGGCGATTAGTGCACCTGCGCAGAATGTCCAGACTCTCATCGACGAGACCCCCGGGGCGGGCATCGCCATCGCCTGCTTTAACAGTCCCATGTCGGTTGTTGTCAACGGTAAAATGGAGGCCTTGGAACGCTTCCGCACGACGCTGAGAGAAGGTAATTCGATCAAGTCGACCTACTTATCGACTCCTTACGCATTCCATTCAGCCCAGCTCGACCCCATGCTCGACGCCTACCAGACCGTGGCCAAGTCTGCCCAGTTCTGTAAACCATCCATTCCGGTGGTCTCGACTCTTCTTGGGCGGGTGGTCGACAAGGAGGGTGTCTTCTCGGCCTCTTATCTGGCCGAGCAGACTCGCAAACCGGTCCGTTTTGAAACGGCGATCACGGCGGCTCGTGATGCTGGATACATCACCAACAACACCCTGATTGTGGAGGCCGGGCCCGGCGCTATGTGTCTTTCAATGGCAAAGTCCACACTCGCTGCCCCCTGCAAGCTTCTTCCGGCGTTGCAGTCCGCGAGCTCTACTTGGGAGGCTCTTTCTCAAATTGTCGCGGAAGCTTACACGAGTGGCGTCTCCGTGGACTGGGCAGAGTTCCATCGTCCTTACAAGCCCAGCTTGTCCGTCTTGGACCTCCCGACATACCATTTCGACCTCAAGGACTTCTGGATCCAGTACCGCGGTGGCGTTGCAGCCCTCGAGAGAGACATGAAGGCAAAGTCCTCGCAGGGTTCCCAGAGTCCCGGACAGGCGTCCTTGGGCACTTGCTTGCACCGTCTCGAGTCCGAAGACATCGCAAAGGACAACGGCACGGTCGAGTTTTCGGTCGACCTCCAGGAGCCGTCTTTGCGCAAGTTGATCGATGGTCACAACGTCGTCGGCATCGCACTCACGCCCAGCGGCGTTTATCAAGAGATGGCTTGGAGCGCAGCCCGTTATCTGCACGGTCAGATGAGCCCGGGTGGTTCAGATGCGCAGATGGTTTTGCAGAAACTTGACATCTTCTCGCCCCTTTTCCTGGCACAGTCGAAGAGCCCGCAGATCGTCGCGGTCCGCGCAACTACCAAGACAGGGTCCAACACCTTCGTCGTCACCGTCAGCTCGGACAAGGACCACTCGCGCTGCGAGCTTGTCATTGCACCTCCCCACCAGACGCAAAAGGACGAATGGAAAGCTCGACGAGCCCTAGTCGCGCCGAGATCCGCCGAGCTCATGCAGCCCACATCTCAACATCCCGTGTACCGGCTGTTCAAGCAGATGGTGTACAAGATCTTCTCTCCCATCACGGACTACTCGAGCGAATACTGGTCCATCAACGAGGTGTTCATCGACCAGTCTTTTACCGAGGCTGCATTCAAACTGGATCTGCGCGAGACTCCGGCCGGGTCGTCTTTCACCTACGACCCCTGCTGGCTGGACAGCATCGCCCAAACCGCTGGCTTCCTGCTCAACTCCAATGCGTCCAATCCGGCAGACGTGGTTTACATGTCTACCGGTTGTGATACCTTGAAGCTCAGCAACGAGCTGACAGGCGGGAGGCAGTACCTCTGTTACGTCCGCGCGGAGATTTCGGACAACGGCAGCAGTGTGGTCTGTGAAACGACCGTCTTTGACGAGACCAGTGCCGTTGCCATCGGCGAGGGTCTCAAGTTCAAGCGGGTGAAGAAAGCCCGCCTCCGCCAACTGCTTGGCTTGCCTTCGGCAACACAATCCGATCCGGTCAAGAACAAGGCTGCCCCGCCAGAGCAGAAGATTGCCGTCGAGAAGGAAGTCAAGCAGCCCCGAGTGACCAGTGACTCCACCGATAAGCCAACCGCAAAGGTCTCCCGTCGCGAAACTTCGGACCACGAGCAACTCTCCGCCGTACTGAAGGTTATCAGTGCCGAGGTCGGGACTCAGATGGAAGACGTGGAGAACCACACCACACTGGAGGACTTGGGCGTCGACTCCCTCCTCACGGTCGCCATCACCTCCAGACTGAAGTCGGAGCAGAACATCGAACTGCCGGCAACCCTCATCGCCGGCCCGACCACGATATCAGAGCTCATTGCCTACTTTGACGATTCGACGGCGGATATCGTTGACGAGCCCACCGACGAGAGTGGCGCCTCTACCCAGGATTCACCATCGTCCGCTATCTCGACTCCGCCGACTTTGCCAGTCGCCGATTCCCCGATATCTGGCATCCCAGGCCTCGAGGGTGTCGACATGAAGGACATTCTTCTTTCTGTCATCGCCAAGGAGAGCGGGCTTGATCCGAGCGAGATTGGCATGGACACCTCTCTCGCTGATATCGGCGTCGACTCTCTCATGAGCATTGCCATCATCGGAGCCGTGAAGGAGCAGACTGGAACCGAGCTCCCGGCTTCTCTTCTCGCGGACTGCGCGACTGTATCCCAAGTGGTCCGCACTATTGCCAGTGACAATTCCCAAGGTCCGTGATATCCCTCGAATTCCCCCGTCACCATCTGCAAAGGCTCACTCTCGCTAGACGACTCCACCCTTTTTCCGTCAGAGGACCTTCTTCCCCAAGTGGTCCTTCCGCCGGTGAAGCCTTTTAACCCTGAAGAGTACCACAGCAACGTCGTCCTCCTCCAGGGTCAGCCGCAGAGCCAACAACGCCTGTTCCTCATCACAGACGGCTCCGGTTCGGCAGCGGTCTACCTCCACCTCCCCAAGCTAGCTCCGAACCTGACAGTCTACGCGCTTGAAGCGCCTTTTCTGGGCAGAGCGTCTGAGTTCACGGGCAGCATGGAGCAGATCGGGTCCATCTACGCGCGCGCCATCCGCTCTGTGCAGCCCCACGGGCCCTACATGATCGGCGGCTTCTCCGTGGGCGGCATGTTCGCCTACGAGACCCTGCGCCAGCTCGTTGAGAGCGGCGAGCAGATCCACAGCTTCCTCGTCTTCGACGCCGCGTGTCCGAAGAAGCTGCAGGGCATCCCGGACGTGACCGTCGAGGTCTGCGAGATGACGGGCATCTTCGACAGTATTTCCGAGACGGACAAGCGGAGGCCCCTGACGCTCGAGCAGAAGACGTACGTCGCGGGCTGCGTCAAGTGCGTCATGAACTACGACCCGGTGCCCCTCCCAACGCATGCCAGGCCGGTGCACACGTTCATCATCTGGGCCCGGAACGGGTTCTTCGACAAGCTGTCTGACAAGGTCATCGAGGCGGACAAGATCCTGACGGCCAAGAGCGGCCTACAGAAGGAGGCTAACCCGGACTGGATGGAGTGGTTGACCGTGGAGCGTAGTTCGTTTGGTCCTAGAGGTTGGGATAGGTTGGTCGGGGATGTTGAGACGTTTGTCGTCGATGGTGATCATTTCTCCATCATGATGCGTCCAAGGGTAAGAACCCCCACCCCCGAGACTTTCGCACCAATCTTGTAAAATGGTTGACTAACACCAACGGCACTCAGATCACCAACGAAACGGGACCTCTGGTGCAGAAGTTGGCCAAGAAAATGGTATCGACGCTGAACAAACCTCGGCAACCAACGCAAGTTGCCGAGTCCCCCGTAGCGCTTCAAAAGATTCGAGACACGTTCAAGAACTCAACTGATCTCGTCCTCGGCTTCTCCGACGAGGCAGGATGCTCCGGGTTCTGGGACGAGGTGTTCCCTACCCAGCAACAGTTGGTCCTCGCCTTCGTCACCGAATCGCTGGCCCGGATGGGCCGCAACCTAGACGCGCTGGCGCCCGGAGAGGCTCTGGAAATCACCAACACTCTCCCCAAGCACCAAAATCTGCTCCAGATCATCTACAAAATCCTCCAAGACGGCGGTCTGGTCAAGTCCCAGCACGGCAGGTTCCTCCGAACCTACCAGCCCGTCGACAAGATACCCTCGTGGGCGATCTACAACCAGCTCATCCGAGACCACCCCCTCCACAACAGCGAGCACGAACTCCTCCAAGTCGCGGGCTCCAAGCTGGCCGAGTGCCTCACGGGGGCGATCGAGCCGCTCAGCCTCATCTTCGGCAAGAGCCGCGGCCTGCTGCAGGAGTTCTACACCAACGCGCCCATGTTCGTGGCCGCGTCCAAGTTCGCCTGCGAGATCATCGGGCGCGCGTTCGCGGGTGTTACGTCCCGCGTCGAGATCCTCGAGGTCGGCGCCGGCCTCGGCGGTACGACAAAGTACGTGCTCGACAAGCTCGTCGAGAACGCCGTCCCCTTCACGTACACGTACACGGACATCTCGTCCTCCTTCCTAGCCGAGGCGAAGAAGAGGTACGCCCACCTGCCCCCGGGCAGCGTCGATTTCGTGCCGCTGGACATCGAGAAGACGCCCCCCGAGAAGCTGTGCGGCCGGTTCCACGCCGTGCTGTCGTCCAACTGCGTCCACGCCACCAGGAGCCTCGCGGCGTCCTGCGGCAACATCCGCAAGCTGCTCCGCCCCGGGGGCTTCGTGGTTCTCGTCGAGTTCACGACGAGGCTGTCATGGTTGGATCTGGTGTTTGGGCTGCTCGAGGGGTGGTGGCGCTTCGACGACGGGCGTACGCATTGCTTGGCTGATGAGCACTTGTGGGAGTCGACGCTGAAGGCTGTTGGTTTCGAGAACGTGCTCTGGTCGGACGCTGAAGGGAACGATAAGCCGAATCCTCAAACTCTCGTGGCTTTTTGAGGTTTGACGTACACGAAACTAAGCTCTGGTTAAAATAATTCTATCATGTAAATTAATTGCGAAACTGTAGTCCTTTCCTTTCCCATCCGCTATAGCACGAATCAGATTGACACAATCTCTGTCTTACACAATTCTGCCAGACTCGAACCTCGGCTTGCCCCGCGACATCGTTTCCGAGTCTCCCAAAGATTACCATAGAAGTGAATTGAAAGTTGCTATAAGAGAAATTGTTCTTCATATTGCCGTGGTCGGCGCATTTCCATGGGGATGGACACAGAAGCGCCCGTTTGTACTAGGAGGGCATCAGATAGACGTAGACAACGCCCAGGAGATCGCTGCTTCCCTGTAGAGTGGCGTGAATTGGAAGGCCCAGGTAATAGCATGTAAGGGATAAGAGACACTTAGACCCCGATGTCTTATTTGTCACCCGGTTTTCTGGAGAATGAAAGCCTCAATAGAGCCATTTTCCGCGGTTTCCCTGCCCTCGTCCACTCAGAATGTGGGTTGAATACCATTGTATTCTCAGCGCTTGTTGGAACACTCGGACGTTGAAGAAGATCCTAGATAAAACGAATCCGTGATTGAAGGACTTGAATTCATGCCCTGGGAATGGACAAATTTGCCAGTTTAATATTCGTTACGCTTGCTTAAGACCCTCTGGAATGTCGCCATAGGTCTGGTGAGTGCGTTCTGGGACTCACATGGCCTAGAAATATCAACGTCCTTAGAAAATGAAGAATTTCTCAGGATGTCGCTCCTACGGGTGTAATGGTTTTGTAGCTGCAATCCTTTTTTGGTACGACTGTTTGGTTTGGAAACCCCATTGCTGTGCTGTTTCTGCTCTCAGGAGACAGCATCAAAGGTTGAGTTCTTTCTTCCCTTCTGAAAAGTCGCAAATAGTCCCCAAGCCTGTATTTGTGTGTTGTTTGGTGACACGAGACCCTGAATGAGGAAGATATCCGCAGCCATTATCTTGGATCACCCCTTGCTCCTTTTGGCGAACGGGAAACGACAAAGCAACCACCGACGGCACAGGTATAAGACCAACATTGGCTGCCCGAGAAGTCGTATTGCTCTACCATCGACATTTTTCATGCACACGCGGCATTTCCTCTTTCCTTCACCCCAAATCCTCTCACTGGAATACCATTGAAATGCCATTCCACAGACCAAACACTCCCTCGTCTCGTCAAGGCAACCGCGCCAACCCCCCTACGCCGATCAAGACCCATCGCCAAACCAAATACACCAAGTCAGGTCATGTGCGGGTGCCCACCACCACAACCATCCCGTGGACCACCGAAATATTCACCCCATCAACCGCTCAGTCTGAGGCCTTTGACGCTTTCCCCGTGAGCCCACAGTCGGCGCGCGACGCGCAGTACGGCCCTCCAGGAGACACGCCTCATCCATTCCGTCGGAGGGCCGTGCCATCCACGCCTGCCAGTACGCCTGTCATGCCGGCGACAGGAAACCATGGCATTGAGGGATGTCAATCTATTGACGGTGTACTTTCATCGCCATCCAGGTGGTCACCTAGATCTCCCCAGTGGCTGTCTTGCGGCTCCATCACTGGGACTCGCTTTGGGTCGACTTCTTCTGACATCGCCGGGGGAAAGCCAGGCAGAACTGTTTCAAATGCGTGGATGGCCTTTTTGACGATAGGGGCACAGGTATTACTTTTGATCAGTGTGGTTGGTGCCTTGTTCATATTTAACCCGGCTGTCAACATGACATCCACCGGGTGAAACATGTCAGTGCTGTTACTCTCACGAATGTAGACTCCCCGGGATTTTGTTCTTTGATCATTTGCTTCATACCGATCATGAATATAGAACGTATTTTCCCCCCAGCGAACGGTCTCATGCAATTATTGTCATGTACATCTTGAATATTTGCCGATTACACTGTCATGATGCTGACGAGAATACTACTTCCCTCCTCTAAGCTGTAAAGAAACGATGCTAATCAGGCCTTGGTCGTTATTATAACCCTCTTGTAACGTCTAATTGGGTGTGGCCCTTTCTTCGTGCGAACTTGCAAGACCACCTGCCATTCTTTGCCATCCGTAAAGGCGCTATCTTCGACCGACACCTCAACCCTTGAACCAAGCGTGACATTCGCAAATCCAGCTTCATTCAGAGAGAGCACGCCGTTTGTACCAGAGGGGGAGGCGAGTGGCTGAATGGAAAGGCCACTTGGTTGCGGCGGGTACACTTGTGCTGCGGGATATTCAAACCACTCAAAGTCGAGCTGGCTCAAGTCCCCAGGATGATCGGCGTCACAGGTGCTTTCCCCATTCAATATGATTGACTGATTGGCCTTGAGGTCGAACCGCAAGACTTCAGGGCCTGCAGAACCATTCACGTTGACCAGAGGCGGGTGAGCTACTGCGCTGGCGCTCTGGTTTAGGGTCCATTGCATCCGCGCGGCAAAGTCGTCCTGCATAGCGTCTCTCCAGCGCCAGATCGTCGCCTGAATACTCGAGTATGAAGTCCCATCAGACAATGTGAGGGCATCCAACGAGTTTCCATACCAGTTGATGCCGTCAACATCGACCACCTGAGAGTATCGGCCTCCCCAACCGCCTAGTTCCGGCTGCTCGGTAGCAGACAGACCATTTTGAATGAGCCACAGGAAGCTTGGTGTATCTCCTTCCATGTTGAACTCGATCAAGGGATAGGTTGCGCCCAGAGGCCCAACGCGGATGTTCGGGGTGATCCACTCGTCTGTGATTTTGGTGGTGTTTGCCAGTCCGTTGGCGTTGGTGTTTACTCCCGTCCAAGTCGCGTCTCCAAATTCTAGGAAACCATGCATGCTAGATATGTAAAAGATGTCTGGCCACTGAGATTGAATCCATGTGCCAGTGCCGTCTTGATCTGAGATCGCATAGACCCTGAGTCGTGACCGCAGCAGCGCAGCTTCGCTTGGAGACTTTTCTGCGTGTATGTGCCGAAGAGCCTGAGCAAGAGTATTGGCGCCACCCCAAAGGCTCACATGCAGGGGATCTGACGACTCCTCGAGCTTCTCCATGAGCAGTTTTGCGCCTTCGCTGAGTGTGGAATTCAAAGCCTCCATTCCGTAAACCTGACAACCGCATGATTAGTTATTATCCTTCCCTTGCTCAGAAAGCTGGTTGTGAATGGAGTACTTACCGTGGGCCCGGATGTAACTAGGGACAATAGCTCGTCTGAGCTCTTGAACTGAAAATCCGCAGAGACATGTTGATTGAGGTTGCCAACGACCATGCCGTACGCGTTGACGATTTTCTTCATCTCTTCGGGATGGGTAGTATTCCTCAAAAAGAACGATGTTGTCGCGCAAAGCCCGCGAATGTCAATTTGATTTGAATACACAAGCAGGCGAACCAACGACATGGAGTCATCTGGCTCGTTCAGGATGTCCGAGAGGATGAAGACGCGCGGTTTCGGGAATGAAGGACTGCCGCATTGAATCGACTCGGCGCTGACCGTTGTTATGATGTCTTGTGCCCAGAGGAATGCAGAGAGCAGACACAGCAGCGGAGTGCGAAACATCTTGTGAAGCTGGTAAGAGAACGTTGTGTGTGTGTGGGAGAGACGAGCTACCAAGGACGTGGAACGCACACGCTCTTGTAAATATATACGACCAGACACTTTGGACAGCCCATTCTCACCGTAATAAGGTAGCTCTGTGCAGGTGATGAGAGCCGGCTTGCTACAAATTGGGAAATCGCAGGCATCCATATCCTATCGGCTTCTGCAAGGGCAAGTCGAGTTTTGCCTAGCTGTTGTCACTTCCGCTATCTGGGGTGGTATCCCGTCGGCTCAGGAACCAACAACCAGATAGTCCGAGCCGACTTATTGATCATCTATTGCACTGAATACCGGCTGCAGGAAGAAATGACTGCATCATCTCTTGGAAGAGGAAATCGCTTCCACCGCCGTAGTCCACGTGGACCGGGATTCATGTGCCTAATGTTTCCACTTCAGGAAACATGTTTGCGAGGGACCTTGGGGAGCGGCTGGGGACCCCGCGATTTGGCATTCAGATGCGATCTCACTCCCCTAGACTGTGGAGAAGTCGGAGATAATGTGGCCGACGTTGTGTTGATCGCTCTCGGGTTTTCCGACGAATCATGGAATAGCCGGCCGGCACTTTCAACGGCTCTTGTTCAGCATACGTACAAACACTGGTTGATTGGTAGGCAGTTTATTTAGAAATGAACCCTTTGGTTAAATCGTTCTTATTTCGAACTAGGCTTTGGGCAGTTTCTCGCCCGTCGCAACCAACGTCACTTACAGAGTTGGTATTCCGAGAACTGCTTTACAGCGCTGGAGTTCCACCCTGCCCATGTGCATTATTGGTAATCATCCCACGGGCTGCGTTCATTTGTCTCATTTTCTTTCATGCGTGGATGAGCAAAAACAAAAACTCCGTCAAGCTCTCGCATTTCAGCATGTCTTAATCCTCGGTGGAGAGGCTCGGTGTAGGTTGCTGTCACCGATCGGCCCCGCGTCCATACAGGGCTAGCAGCTCGCGCTCGACCTCGGCATGCCCATTTTGGGTGGCAGTGGAGTTGTCGTTAGTCAGCTTCTTGGCGAAAGAAATGGATTCCGCTGGGGACAGAATTTATCTCCATCTAGGAATCCAATCTCGACGTCGAACAACATCCAGGAAGCAGACGTTGAAGTGCGCAGAATGGCTGGAAACAAGGCGGGCGCAGACGATGCGTCTAGGCGCTCAGTGGGGCCCCGCGTCGTGTACTTGACGCTGTACAACACTGTTTTCGCGTGCCTATGGGCGTCTATCTTCATCAGCATCGTTGCCAACATCCCCCACGGCAAATTCGCTATTTTTCAGGCGACAGAGCAACGGGCGAGATGGGTTCAGACGTTCACGTTGATTGAGGTGGTGCATGCTGCTGTCGGTGAGTGACATGGGCAGACGAGCCGGGACGAGGTTTAAATGAGCTATTTTCTGACGAGTGCCATCGGCTAGGTCTTGTGAAGTCGCCCGTAGGCACGACGGCACTCCAAGTTGTTGCCCGTACTATCATTGTCTGGATGGTGTGGTTCAGCTTCCCGGAGAGCACCGCATCATCTAACGCATACCTCGCGCTTGTACTGGCGTGGTCCGTTGCAGATTTCGTTCGCTATGCGTACCTGACTCTGAATCTTCATGGCAAAGCAACATCTAGCCTTATCTGGCTAAGGTAAACACGCCTGCATCTGTAATCTGGGACTTGGGAAAGCTCTCGTGTTGACCACTTTGGCTTAGATACTCCCTCTTTTATCCACTGTACCCCATCGGAATTGCGTCCGAATGGTGGCTATTGTACAAGGCCATTGAGCCAGGTCGTCAAGTCAGCACTGCTATCCCGCCAATCTTCTACTTCTGCCTATGCTTGTATATCCCTGGTACGTCATTTGGTGGCCCAATTCCTTGAGAGTCTTTCATCTAACATTAGTGAAGGGTCTTACACAATGTATACGTATATGATCAAGCAAAGAAAGAAGACCCTCTCTAAGGCTTTGAAAGCCCAATGAAATGTCGAGTGTGGCTCATATGACTTATCTTTAAGTCCCGAACCTACACTCCTACTGCAGAGATTTTCCCACAGAAAGCCCCTTCATGCATTGTCATTTAATACAGTCGTAGCTCCCATAAGTACTACTACAGACGCAACTGGCGGTGACACCACCTACACAAAAGCGAATACGAATACGCATCACAAACCTGCGGTGTGCCTGTACAATCTGAGTTGAACAACAATGGTCGAAGCCTTCGGCCTTGTGATGTAACGGTTCGACGTAAAGCGAGATTCTAGCACGCCCACTCGGGCTGTTCAATTTCTTGACTGTCCCCGCTGACTAACAAAGCCCCTGAGACAAGTACGGTCTTGCCACAGTCGATAGCTCATCACTGGCTCAGCAAGTGTGAGTATATGGAGTTCGCGCATGAATCATGTTTACAGATTACAAATGGGCATTCGCGTATCGATCACGTACCCGGTTCCATCGTTTTGATGTCAACTGAGGACTAGCTATGGCCATCGGAGAATTCTTGCCGGGAGCTACACGTTGCCGTCGGCCGGTCCAGCTGGATGCAACTTAATTAGATGCAAGTATTGATCATCATACCCGATTCGTAGTAGGACGATCCGTAAGCAATCAGGCATTCTTGTCCTTGCAGGTGGTCTTAGCTGAGCAATTTGACTACTTTATCCGGCACCTAGGGGCGTTCCGACCCCGAGGATCGTCAGGATCCACGGCCGACCCCACACGCCGCGCCAAGTCGGCACCGCGACTCGCCCGAGATGCCCGTCCGTGATGATTCTAGCCACGTTTCAAGTCATATAAATATTGACATTCAAAAGCGAGTCTCTAAGAACTATTTCTCATAGTACCTATCTTACAGACATCATCTCTATCATCACCCGCCATTTAAAACGCAAAAAATGGGCTCCCTTACGAACAGGTTCGCATCCGCCGATATCATACGGCGTGAACCGTCATCTGGTCTCTCAATCTTGGTTGTCGGTGGTGGTATTGCCGGGCTCGGCTTTGCTATCGAAGGATATCGAAAGGGCCATGATATTCGTATTATCGACCGACGACCCAACTTCGACGACTACGGTAATAATACCGAAACAGCGCCCTTCTTCTCAAAATCTTCTCGCTAAACAAAAGTCCAGGTGACATTATCGGCATTGGGGATTCCGTGGTACACACTATGAAGCAGTGGCCTGGCTTTCTAGAAGCTTGCTACCAGACGCCATTTCCCAGATCCTATGATGCATACAAATTTGACGGAAGTAAGATTGGCAAGCTTGGGGAGGGCCTGGGCATGAGCAGGTCGGAGTTCCATTCGCTGCTGCATCAGTATGCTCTCAACATCGGCATCCCAATTCGCTATGGCGCGAAGGCGGTCGACTACTTTGAGACTGAAGACGAAGCTGGCGTTGAGCTTGAAGACGGAGACAGGATTTCTGCAGACATTGCTGTTGCTGCGGACGGCATTGGTTCCAGATCGTGGCGATTGATAGCCGGCACCAAGGAGCAACCTATAAGCTCAGGCTTTGCTCTGTTCAGGAGCACGTTTCCTGTTGAGTTGGCTTTGAAGAATCCCTTGGTCGCTGAGGCTATCGGGAACATTGAATGCGTCAGCCGACTCTTCTTTGGCTCGGGAGCTCATTTGGTCATGGGGAAGACTCCCAAAGATATGATATGGATGCTTACCCACAGGGTCAGTCGATGCTTCATTAACTAGCCGTGCTTTTGGCATGTATCCTAACTGATAATCGGTGTTTTAGGATGACGGGAACGCCCAGGAGGACTGGGCCAAGCCTGCTGACCCGAAGGATGCTCTGCCATATGTGGAAGGGTGGGCACCTTGGATACAAGAGATTATCAAAATGACGCCCAAGGATGGAGTTGTGGACTTCAAGCTCATGTGGCGCAATCCGAGGGAGAAATGGGTCTCTCCGAAGGCCAGAGTTGTTCAGATTGGCGATGCAGCTCACACCTTCTTGCCCACGTCGGCGAGTGGTGCGACCATGGCACTCGAGGATGCGTTCTCTCTGGCAGCTCTGCTTCATCGAAGTGGAAGGACCGATGCACCTCTGGCCCTCCGAATTCAAAACAAACTCCGGTTAGTCTATACATTTTCATTAGTCGACTTTGGTCTTTTTAGCTAAACGTTTCAATCGTCAGGTTCGAACGCGTGACTTGTGCCCAGAAGATGGGGTTCAAGAATCGGGAGAACTTTCACAATACGGACTGGGATGCTGTGGCCAAGAACCCATCATCGATTCTCAAACAGGTTGATAGATGGGTTTCCGAACACAACCCTGAGCAGTACGCGTACGATAGTTATGATAAGTGTTCAGCTTACATTCTCTCCGGAAAGCCATTCCAAAACACGAACACGCCTCCGGGACACACCTTCAAGCCATGGACGGTGGATGAGCTTCTGGCATACGCTGAGCGAGGAGAGAGAATCACGGATGACGGAGATTGGTCGTGAGCGATATTTCAGAGCATTGACCGCGATTAAAAGTCAAGATTGTATAAGGACTGGCATATTACCTAAATAGAAAGACCGACATTAGAAAGTATCATTAGATTAGAACATAGCATGTCTTGCATGACGTTCTGCACGAGTAACCGTAAGTGAGACACAGCCTAGACATCAAGAACGACACGGTCGAGTAGGTTGCAAGCACGACGACTTCTGAAGGAAGCAGGGGCTCATTCGTATCCAAAGCTGAAGCTTCCAAATATGACATCGATGGTGGAGTTACAAAACGACGGCAGGTGCAAGGGCTCAGCTACATGGAAAGATGCAACTCGGGCTGTCTCCTGCTTGCCTTGCAGCTGCAGCTTCCCATTCGACCGATGTAAGTACCTAGGTTGACAACCTACTCATTCGACTTCAAGCCACCTTGATCACCGGCATTCATTTCTTCCCAACTTCATCGCCCAGCTACCTCTCGCTTCTTTAGTGTTCCTCTTCATTTCTAGCAAGCAGAAGTAATCATGACGGACCCCCACACCCGTCAATACTCCCACCTCGGTGGCACCACCACTGAGCTCCTCGAACGCTTTGCTGTTTCTGAACTCTGCAAAGGCTGGCCGGTCTACCGCGATGCCAGCGAATGGGCCAACTACCGCTCCCTCTTCGCCGACGACGCCATCGTGTGGACAAGTGCGCGCGCTTTCCCTCCCCCGTGAAAAAGTCTAACACCATAGTTACGTGTAGCTTGGAGTGGACCTCAGCCCATCGAAGACTTCATCCGCATCTCCATCAGTGGGAAAGAAGTCGGTGCCTTCATCATGCATCGCGAATGCGGTACCCTTGTCGAACTCAATACTGAAAAGAAACGCGCTGTCGGCAAGATGAAGGCTACGATCACGCAGCGGTTCCAACACCCCGACGGCTTCGAATACGATGTCGACTGTGACTGTCGCTTCATGTTCTTCTACGAAAAGACCACAGATTGGAAGGCCGTCTTCGTCAAGTTGGTCTACGAGAAGGACAAGTTGGTGCCTGTCGATGGGAGGGTACCATCCTTTGCCCCTGAGGTTTTGGCCAAGTACCCCCAGGGCTACAGGTATCTTGGCGCGGCGCAGAGCACGCTGGGCTATGACATCGACTCAGACCTAGTGACGGGCAACAATACTGCGGGCATGTACCAATCGATTAAGAGATGGTTGGAAGAGCCGGCGATGTCTCGTTCTTTTCGACCAGAGTGATAGTTGAGCAGACAAGAGGGAAGACCCTCGAGGAGCAGCAGTCTCTGGAAGACATACGGTACCTGGAACCTAAATTCAAACAATACCATTTACTGGCAATGCAAATTGATGCGCCTTGTCTTCGCCTTCGTCCTCACCTCTGTGGACACTGTCGCCGCTCTTGGCCATCGGAGCGTTCAATTGTAAGACTGCTCGGTTGATCTTGCCGGTATCTACTAGACTTAAATCTTTCCGTCCATCCCGCCCACAAAATGATAAAGATGTGGCGCGAGCAGGTCAGAAGAGGTTTTCACGAGAGAAGCTCCTCCATCACTGGGCCCTGATTCATTCTCGTTCCACAGCCAATGTGGTGATTTGCATTATATCTATTTCAAGGCGGTTTTGACAATGCTCGCTACGTTCCATGCGCCGAGTAATCATTAATCCCTCCACCATGCAAGAATTGAAAGTGAGGCCCCGCCGTTCCAGTACGCCAGACACACAGTACCCAAGCCCGCTCATGATGCCCAATGATTCTTTTACGTATGCCCTATCAGACGTTCCAACATATACATGCCCGTCCATCGCCCATCTCTTACAAGACCATCCATGTCAAGATGACGCTTGACACTATCGCAGCGAAGCTGGGGGACGATATTGAGGCTGATGACCCAGAACCTGCCGACGGAAGCCCCGACGTCTCTGGAGAGGCGCCGGTTGGGAGATTTGATCCTGTGCCGGAACCTGTGCCGGAGCCAGACCCGGAACCAGATCCGGAGTTTGAGCCGGTCCCGGCACCAGTGTTAGGCACAGTAATGGTACCGTTATTGACCGGTGACGTTACGGGGGCACCGGGACACAACCCCTTGATGGCAGGAATATCTTCTGGGCGGTTGATAGCCATCGTCCGGGTGCCACAGTTGACGTATTGAGCAAGGTAGGCAGCATTAGTATCGAGATCGAACACGGCTAAAAGGGTTTGTTAGCGGGATTCTCACTGAAAATTATCATGCTTCCAACGTACCATAGGCTGAACGCAGGAAGGTGTCGCCCAGCAGCGTGAAATCCGAATTCGGAACAATGCCAAGGTAACAAACCGGCGGGCTTGTGCGCAGCTCACGAATCATCTCCTTGTATGGCACCTTGATCTTCATCCCTTCAAAGTCGAAGTCGACAGTTCCGTTGAGGTTGACCAGAGTACAGGAGACGGGGTAGAATCCATTAGCATCGAGACCCGGTGAGCCAAAATCGGACGCAATCGTGTTCGCGATATCCATAGGTAGCAGGGTGAGAGTAGCTCCGCTGTCGAGGAAGACAGGCATGTTGCTGTTCGGGTAGTATCGTGTTCGTCCGCTCGGCGGGGTGATGCTCATCTGGGTCATTTCAACCCAGTACCGCGCAACACCATCAGGAGACTGGTCGGCAGGAATGATCGGTAGGCGAGCCAGAGATCCAGAAAACTTCGAAGTGTCGATTCCACCGAAGATGATGGCCCCTTCCTGCTCATCCTTTGATCCCAGAGCCAGACTGAAGGCCTTGGTCTTAGTAACGTTCTGAGCCGCAAGTTCGTCGATGAGATTCTTGTAGCGCGTGTTGACACCTTCACCAGCACCAATACCAAGGATACCGGCAAACTGATCTTCCGAGCTCGTGGCCACACCGAACTGAACATTCTGCATCGTCTGCCGTGACCCAGCGAGGGCAAGGTTGTCGCGGACATAGGTGATGTTGGCGGCGCCAATGCCGTAGCGCAGCGTTTTCGTCGTCCGCAATGGAGTAACGGTCGATGATTTGGCGGTGTCGTAGAAGCCGACGGCTTCACAGAAGCGTTGATCGGAGGCGCTGAGTATGCTGCAATCCGGGTTCACCCACAATTCGAAGGACCCGGTATCAAGCTGGGCGTAGACGGGTTGTGGGGGCGTGCCGATGTTGACTGATTGTTGTTAATCCACAAACACGGTTCTTGGCAATGTTTAATATTAGAAGAGGGGTTGCGGTAGCTTACGTTGCGCGTAGTATGCCACGTCTGAACGGTTGGCGAGCTTCGCTTCGACTTGTCGGCTGAAGACCCCACGCTTCGTGGAGTGGATGACAGGCAAGGTGACGAAGGTAGCCTTCATGTCGACTTCATCGTCTACCGGCAAGCCTCTCATTGAAACCGGAGGCTTGAGCTTTGGGGCAGCGGGCAAAGCCTCCAGGTCGTCAGTGAGGATGTCGTCGAGCAAAAGCTTCCGCGGGCGGTTCCCATTCACACGTCTCCTCCTCAGCTTCGAAGTCACCGGTAGCGTCATCATCATCGTCTCCGAACCCTCATCCACCGGTAGAGGAAGCCCTCGCGGGGCAACGTTGTCCTTGGCATCGTGCTGCGTCGTATAAGGAATGACGGGAAGAGTCATAAAGGCGCCAAAGTCTCCGTCATCGGTTGGTAGTGCAGGCCATGCTTGGGTGCGGGCGACTAGCGAGAGGGCCAGTAGGGCGGAGGAGAGTAGCGCCATTTCTGGCGCCGGGAGAGAGGGTGGAAATTCGGGCTATCGCGGTCGTCGCCACATGGGAACTATCTTCAAAGAGGCGCTCGGGGCGGGTGTTGAAGTTCACCAGATAGATGAGTCGATCGGCGGACGGGCGGTTCAAATCTCGAATTCGGCTCTCAGAGCTCGGGCGTCGTTCAACGAGCGGATTGGCGAAAAATGGATCAATAAAGTTTACGACAAAAGGAGCGGAACGAAGAAGAATATCAGAAAAAGGAAAGAAAACAGACAAGCCGTGTTGACGTTGGATGAAAAACGACGATCCTGTCGGAAGAAGATGAAGAAAAGATGCCGTTCAAACGGCAAACGCAACGCAATGTAAAACACGCCTTGGCTGGTTGAAGAAGAATACTAAGAAGAGGGAAAATAGAAGCAGGGACTCCACCGTCGACGCAGTCAACGATTGAGGACGAAGGGAATAATTGGTAAGAGGGAAAGAGAGACCGAGAGGAGAGGCCGTGATAGGAATAGGAACAGGAAGAGATCGACATGGGTTGAAGACACCACACAGACAGAGAGACGAACTGGTCGGTCCCTTGTCCCAGCTGTCAGCGCCAAGGGAACGGGGGGCTCGAGGATGGGGAACCACAGTGTCTCAAGAGCGACATGGTTCGCACGTTTTTTCGCCCTTCTCTTCTGGTGGCTCCCCTGTCGAATCTCGGTGCCCGCAGAGAAGGCCGCTGAGCCAAAATCCAAATTTGGCACACGAGCCAAGATGCTGCGAGCGCCGTCCGAGGCTACTACGGCATTCTTGTGCTCGGCGGAAAGCAAACAAGCAGCAATTCTGCATCGACCGGTGGGATATTCCCTCGAGACTCTTCTCGCAAAGTCTCAAGCTTGGAAGGGAACGCAAGTGATTGAGACTTGGCAGTCGGGCCTTGGCAAGCTCGAAAGACGATGGCAACGGCTCTGAGTGGCCACTATGGGCATCTCAAACAGTGACTAGCGGCCTGGCGTCACAGATTCCGCTGGGGGTTGCAGGCGAGCCAGGGTGCGGAAATCGTAGATCAGACAAACCCCTGAGACGAAAGCGGACGCGAGTGGTGTGAGACTCAGCGGCACTAAGCCCCTTCAGGTCACCTTGGCCTTGTCTTGGCTCCTCTTTTGAGGGCACTCACCGAGGGGTCGGGAGGGGTCCTCGGGCAGAATCTCTGCGACCTGTGACCTGAAGGGGCGGGAGAGATCAGAGCCGAGAGAGCTGGGCGCCGTTGGCCAATTGAACGATGGATAATGATCCGAGAACGACAGCATCGAGGATCTTGTGAATCTCGCGAGTGCTTGTTCTGAAGGCTTGATGCATCTGTCAGCCAATCCTCTTGAAGTGATCCCCGACGGTGGAGCACCAGCCTGAAGCAGGGAGAGCGTTGAAAATGCCCAGCCGCCTCGATGCCTACAACAATCAGACCATGTGTATGCTTCTCTCAGCTCATGGCCAGCATTTTCCAAACATCACCGTGAAAGAGTGTGAACGGGAAGAACAAGCGCAAATACAGGAAGATTGAGTTGAAGAGGCGTATGCAAGATGAAGAACAGAGATGGAATGGTTAAGGTTAGAGTCTTTCCGTGCAGGACGTCAACGACTCAGTGGGGATGGAATGGGCCCTTCAGCGGGTCTCCCGCGCCTGTGCCCGTGCCTAGTCAGTCAGTCTTCCATGTCGATGTCGACGCCGAGCACCGTCGAATGACTCCGACCTCGTAATCCGAGTAGCACCGGGAGCTGGCCAAGACATTTCCAAAGTTCAAGCTTGCAGGTCTCATGGATAGTGTTGATCAGCATGCGGCTACTATTCCTTGATCATTTATTCCACCCAGTCCGGATGGTGTGCAGTCGCATTCGGTGCTAAATTTATATACACCTCCGCCGCCCTTCGTCCGCACTTTTGAGGGGTCACGGCTCAACTTGCCCCCATCATGAAATACCCTTTCCCAAGCCACCCTCCGGACTCGCCAAGATGAAAAAGCCATAACGCAGAAGCTCGGCGGTGTGATGTTCTGTACTGGCCAAGAGAGGCTGAATGAAGTCTCAATCTTCAGCCAAGCTGTCTAATGCAGCCTGAAGTCTGAAGGAGTCGATGTTCATTTCATTCACCGCGAGAGTTTCAACTTGACAGCGACATTTGAGACTCTATGTCATCACACCTGGTACGTGCGGCTTAACGCATTTCGTTTTCAGCCCAAAAACTTAAAATCAAAGCATAAAGCACGGGCGTGTACAATCTTTTGAAAGTGCCGGAGGAGGGGTCGTCGATTGAGGCTATTGATGCACTGATGTTGCCCGTGGATCTGCAACAAGTCGCTGTTGTAGTTGAGCAAGCAAACTTTTCATCGCGACCTTGACCACAATCTACAACAATTCCCAGCATCGACCTCTTACTCCCGTAGGCCGAGTATCTTCACTCGGACTCCCTTGGTGTCATCCCTTGGCTCGCCCAGAAAGCAATCCCTGTGATGATCAATGTCTCTTTCCCGTACGACATCGTACAGCTCTAAGTCAAAACGTCGAAAGAGCTTGGCAAGAGCAATGTACATCTCAGCCCATGCAAGACTGTGATTAAGGTCAGTCACATGAAACGATTGAACACAACGGTGACTTTGCGGTCAAAACTGACTTCATCCCTATGCAGTTTCTGTGGCCACGGTGAAAGGGCAGAAAGTACTTGACGTTGCGGGCGTATAGAGGATCAGACTCTAGCCATCTCCCAGGGTCGAAATTTCTTGGCTCTGGGAATGCGCGAGGGTCCATCATGAGGTCGGCAAGGGTTGTTCCGATCGGCGTCTGGAGCGAACATGAGTGAAATGAGTCAATCACACGGAGAAGTGTGTATGGTTTGAGGGGGCTACATCAAATTTCGCGAAGAGCCAGTGATTTCAGCTTACATTTGACGGAATTATCCAGTCGTTGTATCTCAAATGCTCTGTTGGTGCTTGCAGTACAGCTCTTGAGGTAATAAGTGCAGAAATTCGAAGAGACTCTTTGATAACCGCAGGCTACTTAGGTATAAGAATCCGAACGATTAGTAAGTCATGAGAGTGAAGTGTCTGGACTTACAAACCAAGTTAGATTCTCAAGACTTTTCAGGTGTGTCGATGCGTTGGGATCTGGTATGACCGAGTCTAACTCGTCCCTCAGCCGTCCAAGATACTCTGGGTTGGCAAGAAGATGGTATATGGCCGTGGTCAATGTCCGAGCGATAGTGTCACCTGACGCTGTCAAGACGCCGAAGCCTTCTTGTGCCATTCGCTTGTATGACTTCTCTGAACCAGGTAGGTTCGATGACAGAATAGCTTGCATGAGATTGCTCGGGGCCGCAGACTTCGCCTGCGTAGACCCGAAAGAATCAATAGCAACTTTTGCCTGCTGTCTGATGTTCTACTCGTCAATGATGGTGTGAGATGGTGTCAAAGGAGGTTGCATCAGGACATGAGCCTGACTTACCCAGTACACTTGAGCCACAAGAGCCATATCCGCAGAAATCAGCTTTATCAACCAAAGAGGCAGCTCTAATGCGTAAGGTATGATCCAAGGGAACTGCCGGACAAAGGGCGTCACATGCAATAGACCAATGATACTATGCCGCCACACCTGAGCCTTCTCTTGGTCTTGCAATAGCTTCATATCGCCATCCTCGCCAAGAGCATGGGCACAGTAAAAGTCAGTGGCGAAAGCAAGCAAAGGGACGCGGATATTGAGCGGCTCGCCATCGAACATAGCCTTCTTGAACACTTCGCATAAGAGGTCGACTTTCTCGTGAATGAGATCTTCATGATTCAAAACAGACTGCCTGGAAAAGAACCCGGAGATCGCTGCCCTCCTTCGGCGGTGGAGTTCGTGGTCGACTGTGCCAAAGATACCGTCCGGAGTGCCCTGAACTCCAGCACTGGGAGGATACTTGTTTCGACGAACACTTCCGCCCGCGTAAATTGTGTCGAAGAACTCATGGTCATTGACATGAAGCTCGTGCGGGTTGATGCGCACAATAGGGCCGTACTTCTGATGCATGAGTTGGATTTGGTAGGCGAAGGTCTTGCGAGGTCCACCGAAAATATCCGTGTATAATTCATACCATCCAGTGAAGGCCGAAAGTTTTGGGCCGGGGAACTTGGACAAGGGATGAAATGTAAGTCGATAAATTCCCAAGGCAAAAGCGTACAGAAGTAACGCGAAGACCGCGATGGACACGGTGGGCCATACTGAGCCACCATGGGCCATGTAAGTGAGAAGCCCCATGTGAATTCGTGGCGCTGTGTGACGCTTGGTAAACTGAATCCTCGATGGACACCAGTGCGTTCGAAAATGCTGGCGTTCGAGTCTCGGGGAGCTAAGAGACTGATGATGTCGCTTTCCGGCTTCTTCTCGTGTCTGACTCGACGAATTGATCAATTATGAGTCTCCCCACGCATATGCTAGGAAAGACGTGATCCTCAAATGTGTGGCTATCAATAAGCCTAGACAACACCTTTGACCGCTTGTTCCGCGCCCAGAATATCCATCTCCGGGCGATGCAAGAAGAGCGGTTCTTGTTCCTTTTTTGGCAGATGCATGGTGACTGATATGTGACGACCAGGCGCTTGGAAGTGGGTTCATCACATTGTGTCCCGCGAGAGGCGAAAACGTCTTATCATCGGTCTTGGTTCGAGACACAGGGGCAATTGTTGGGTAGACCTAGCAAGGTACACGAAGACATCGCCACATGATCGGTGATGGGCTGCTGGATAATCGATTGAACTAGCTATTTCTCAACGATCTTTCCGATAGTTAGATTTATTGAGCCAATGGTTTTTGCCCTTTCCGACCACCTCCCTTCTAGTGACTGCAGTAGTCCTGACGCATCTATCGACGCTATGTCACTGCACCCCAAGGTTTGAATACGTGGCAGCCCAAATAATGACAGGCCTCCGGGGTTGGACGATTTTTTGTTGCAGAACTCAAGTTACAAGTCGGACTGTCCACTACAGAACCACATATCGATGGGTGATTGAGCCGAAGACCAGTATGGAACCCAAAACTTTGATTTGAATTCGATGAATTCATTGGTTCAGGTCTGACTTCCGACATTCGACATCTGCACGTAGATGGATCAACCCCTCATTACTACCAGGGGATACTGTATTCTGGTAAACCGGTAACCCCACATAGGCTTCAGGTTGCCCGAATGGCCCATGTAATGAGTTGAAACTTGAAATACGTAGGTGAATGGGTACCACTGTACAGTATGCGGGACAACTGGAAAAGACTCTATTGGTGGCTTTCATCCAAGGGTCAAGTTGCCCGATTCTGAAAGGAGCCACACTTACCAGGGTCACGTCCCTTGCCAGCTGCTGAAACGCTGATATGATGTTATCTACGATGCTGATCTGACGTGTGAAGCGGTGAAGACCAAATCAGGCTGGTTAGAGAGAATGCGTCACGAACAGAGAATGGTTTCTTCAGCAAGAGTATCGGCTAATGCATAACCCTCTAATACAAGACCCAAAATGGATGTTCAGCGGCCAATGGCATCATGTTGGTCTGGCACCAATGGCTGCCGAGGCCCCTGGGTTGCACCCATTTTGAGATGAACACCAATTTGAAGATGACCCTCAGCTTCCAATTCGCTCGGCATTCATTCAGACTCCATCAGCCAACCGTCTTACTCACCGGAGCGGTCCATGATAAGCTGCTGACCGTGACCAGGCTTTTGTGCAGCATCAAGGCGTCTAGGGCCAAGTATGTATATATGAGAGAGAACATGATAAATGTTGCTTTGTTTCAGCAATTAATGCGGATAACTTCAAGCTCGTTTGTTTTTGCCTTGTTGCCTGTGACATGGCGCTGCACGGAAAGCCCGTTCGCCAAGAGCTGCTGGAACAGCTGAGAGGCCAAGAGCTCCGAATTCCAGATCTCAGACGCATGTTCAAACACTGGCCTATGGATATCAATACTCAGCTCGAGAGCATCCGTGCCTCAGTTCCAAACAGAATATCAAGGTAATTTTGAAGACTCATCTCAATCCGGTCAGCTTGGCCTTGCTGCTGAGAATAGCAGCCTTACCGAGTCTGCCCAGAAGCAAAGACTTTTGACCAAGATCGACTCGGGGCTTTTTTCTTCAACATGGTGGCCCGGAGCTACCTTGGCAGACGGAGACATCCTGTCGTGCTTGGCTCTATGGGTATGTGATACAACCAAGACTCCGCTGATTGGCTTGGCTGACACGAATGTTGTCAAAGCTTTTCATTTGGGATGATGGTATGTCTCCCAATGTCTCCGAGACACTTGCACCGAAACTAACAGATTACAGAAATGGATGCGGAGGTCGGAGACTTGTCGAGTGATTTCCAAGCCGCCCAAACTTTCCGTAGGGAAACCATCGAGTATGTCCGCCATTGTCTCGGGCTTGATGAGGTTGGTTGCGGCACGCGAGAACCTCCGGAGAGTAAGATCATTGCATTCTTCAAGGTAATTGGTGATGCATCATGTCAAGCCTACGGCGTAGGTATGTACTTCAATGACCCCTCTGATGTGTACACGACTCAGATAAGAGGTATCTAGAACACCGAGAATTGTTGTTCAGAGAGCTGGAATTCTTCACGAAAACATCCGAAGTAGAAGAGAAGCGTAGACTGAGCCCTGATCTGCCTTCAGTAGAGGAGTATGTTGAGACAAGGATGGGAACGAGCGCTGTCAATGTCACCAGCTTCTTCAACGAGTGAGTTGCATAAGTCCAGGAGGATGTCTTGACTCTCACATAAGAAGGTACGCGTACAGAGTATCGCTACCAATCAAGCTACTCACCGACCCTTACATGAAAGTCGTATGGGACAAGACGAATATCATAATATGGGCGTAAGTTGAGACAGCTCACAAATTGTTCCCACTCGCTAAGCTACATCACGCAGCACGAACGATCTGCTGTCCCTAAAGAAGGAAGTGGTTAGTTTGTTATCATTTGAGGACATGGAGGGATGGAAGCCAAACTAACACCAGAATCGCAGGGTCAACAATCAGTAGACAGCATCGTTCCACTCCTGTTTCGCCAGTTCGGCAGCTTGGACTTGGCCGTCTCGATGGTCGTGGAGACGATTGAGAAGGCCGTTGAGGACTTTGACTACGCTGCTTACATCCTTACTGAACGATACTCTGGCGACGAATCTCTGATTGGCAATCTCAAGACGTACATCAACGCATGCAGACTCAACTGTACAGGCAATCTGAACTGGAGTCTTCAAACCGGTCGGTACGGCGTATCTAAGCACGCAATTGCAGGTGGTGTCATGATGCGTCTGGAATAAGATGTGGCAATCTGCAGACGCCGCTAGATTTTGAACTGGGCTCCGAGATTGACAACGTTATTGGGTGCTTACGAATCATTTGATGTCATCATGCTTGAGGTCTGCTTACACAACCATCATAAGAATAAAAGATGAAAGCCAGCGGATCTCTCGACTTCAACAAAAATAACCTTCTTCCTGTTTACATTTTCTGACAATACCTAAGACCTTGATGCTTCAATAAGCCCGTCCATCAACCGTATCTGAAATGTCACAATCTCTGCCTAAGACCACCAAGCAGTGGAACGTTGTAGACGAAGGCGGACTTGCTTCGCTCCGATTCAGCGAACAGCCGGTACCTGATCTGGGAGATAACGAAGTCCTCGTAAAATGTGAGCTTGCACTGGACCCAAATCTCGACAATTACTGACATGAATGGCGAAGTACATGGCGCTGCTATAAATGTAGGCCTCGCCACAATGTCTCAACGACTTTCAATCCGCTAACACGATATGTCGTAGTTTCGTGACCTAGTCATCCACCAAGGGAAATATCCGTGGCATGTCAAACCCAACGTCATCCCTGGGTCAGACGGAGCTGGTGTTGTTCTGGCCGTCGGCAAACACGTGATTCGATTTCAACCAGGAGATAAAGTTATCACAGTACTCAATCAGACACACGCTGCAGGGTCACCCGACATGCTAACGTCAAAGTTCGGGCTAGGCGCTGGGGTTGACGGTACCTTTCGCACCGTCGGAGTGTTCAACGAGCAAGGACTGGTGACAATGCCTGAAGGGATAAACTTCATTGAAGCTGCCTCTCTGAGCTGCGCCGGGGTGACGGCTTGGAACGCTCTGTTTGGACTTGAGGGAAAGAAGGTTTCCGCAGGACAATGGATCCTCACTCAGGGCACTGGGGGCGTTAGCCTTTTCGCCGTGCAGTTCGCGAAAGCAGTTGGCGCGAGGGTCATCGCCACTACTAGCTCTGATGAAAAGGCAGAAATACTCAAAAGGCTCGGGGCTGACCATATCATTAACTATCGGAACACGACAGACTGGGGCGTGGCTGCAAAGCGGTTGACAGGAGGTGTTGGGGTCGACCTTGTTGTCGAAATTGCTGGAAATAGCACATTGAAGCAGAGCGTAGCCAGTGTCAAGCTTGACGGCACCGTCGTGACTGCCGGTTTTGCTGGAGGCGATGGCCAAGACCAAGGTCTGCCAACTTTGCTGGACACTTGGCTCAGTTTGTTCACCGCTCGAGGTGTGTGGGTTGGTAGCAGGCTTCAGATGGAGGAGATGTGCAAGGCAGTTGAAGCCAACCCAGACAAGCTACGGCCTGTTCTTGATCCCAAAATCTTCAAATTAGAAGATCTCGAGTTGGCATATCAATACCTACAAACCGGAAGGCATCAGGGCAAAGTCGGTATTGAAATTTCCTGAGCTAGGTGTATCCATCAACATAGGCATCATTCGCTGTTGGAGTTATCTAATTGAGAAAAGTCACATAACAATGTCTTATGCCTTGTTCATCTTCAGATGTCATGATAGTACATTTGATGACTCCGGCCTCTGAAAGACCCAGCGCAAGTCTCATCTTAATTGAATTGACACAAAAGTGATTGTGCCGAAAAAGTTAAAAAGAGTTGTTTTGTTGAGCACGTGTAAGGAAGTTGCACTACAAACATTGAGCTAGAGTGTTATTTCGTCTACCTTGTTCGTCTAAGCAATCGTGACAAGTTGGACTGAAGTCCGAGGCGAATCAGTTGGAGCCTCCCTTCTGCGGCCAAAGCTCCGGGTTAACAATAAAACCCCCCGCAATAAGGAAAGTCTATTAAATGGAAGTCATAACAGCTATAGAACCGATCTTATGCTCATCGTTTTCAATTAAAGTAAAGTCAATACAGGTACCAGACACTCCTTTTAACCTTCATTGAATTGTCGATTGTTTCTTTCCGCCTCCCGTGGCAATTAATCTGAAGCAGTGCTGCTTCACCATCTAGAAGCTCGTTTATCTGCCGCGAATGGTTTTCATCAATGGACTCAACTGCAAGAATCCACTCCTGTCTGCAAAAAAAGCGTCTCATGTCAAACAACACTGCTACGGTAGTGATGCTGCAACCGTGTCCAGGTTCATCGCACCCTGAAGTTTTCTCACGAGTCGCATCAAGCTTCTGCCCGAGAGCATTTCGTCATTAATCAGAGCTGCGGACCGAATTGCGCTTACAACAGTGCATAAGGGGAAACTTGAACAGACGTTGAACATTTTCGGCGAAACGAAACATCTCGCGAGTAAGGTTTCAAAAGATGAGGCCATCACGGGACGAAACTGAAATGCAGCATGTGTCCGCCCAAAGTCAATGCCTCTCCCGACCAATCACTGGGCAGAGATTTCGGCCGTTGAGCATTCCGATACCTTACAAGCGCCATGTGGGAGAAAGTCTGAAAAGTTTGGCGCAAACTTCATTAGACGACCGATTATCTCATCATCATGAAAGCAATGGAGTGTTCGTGTGAATCGCGTGGGAGCAACGGCGTTGCTCAAAACGGACTTCCAAGAACTGAGTTCGGCTTCGCGGCTTCTAGCGAGTGTCACATTGATTGAGCATTCGTGGAAACAGATGGGAGAACCCTGCATCTCCAGGCCTTTGGCGTTGGTTTGACTTACGCGCCCCCCTGACTCAAAGAGATTAGTTTGGTGGAGACCCTGAGAAATAAAGGGTGTGATATAATGGCGGCGAACACATAATTCCTCCGCAAATCAACATGGCCTCCAATGACAGCCTGCTGCTGGGAGACGCGTTTCTGATTGACATGAAACACCGTCATTTGAAGGATTTCGACCCGCAACCCCATACACTCCGTTGCGTTGACAGCGTCCGCCCCCCCTTTTTGCCGAAATTACGCACGCATAATCCCTGTATATACATGAAAATTTGCCCAACGCCACGTAGATATTCGTAGTACGGCAATTGACCTATTCTGATGGCTTCAATTGATCTATTTCTATTGAATCTCATTATCTGAGGGCATCGTGATGCCTCCTAAACGCCGCCGCGCGGCTCGGCAGGCGGATGATGACCCTTCTGGGCATCGTCCGTCACCCATCGCCAACGGTACGCGGAAACAACGACGTATACAACAACTGGCACAGGACGCCGCCAGAGATCCTCCTCAACGCTCTGCCTCGCCGTCGATCAGGATCGTTACGCCCGCCGAGAGGGCTCGCCGGGCTGCCGCCGCCGAAGAGGCCGCCGAGGAGGCCGCCGAGGAGGTTATCGTCGCCGAGGCTGGACCCGAGACTAATGATTTGGTGGCGGCTGAGTCTACATCGCGAAGAAAGCGTGTACTTATAGCCCCTCCGTCATCACGAAGAGCTCCAAAAGCGTCCTCTCGCCAAAAAGCAACGACAACGCAGAGGAAGCGAAAGAAGGATCCGCCGCATACGATCCGGCTCCGAAGTACTCTGCCTTCGTCGATGCCACCGTTTCGACCAGACTCGACCCCAGTTAACCCAACCCCTCGTCAAACCACTCGATTTGCGGACGATACGCCTACGGCCCCTCGCCATAGCGCTGATGATACGTTTATGTCGTTCCACGATGTATTTGAAGAGGAGGACGATATGGGTAACGAGGAACCAACTCTGCTACAAATCCAGGTTACCCGTGGCCCAGCGCTCAAGGGTAACGGTTTACCTGTTCTCGATCTAACCATCGAGAGCATCGCGTATAACAGATTCAGTATTGCTCCTGTATTAGATGCGAATAGTAGAGACTGGGAGGCAGACAGCGGCGCCCAACTTGAGGCAGAAGTGGCTCACTCGTATATTGTGAAGAAGGCCAATATCGCTGTTGTCGTTGCTTGGAGGAAGCCCACCAACGCATCTAAACCAACACCAATCTTCACTCGGGTCTATCCGTCTACTGGAGGGGTCACTTGGCCAAGTATTCCATGGGTTGATATTGTCCCCTCTCTTGAACAAGCTGAAGAGAGGGGTGAAGTCCACCTCACCGTCAAGTGGCAATACAGCGCCGTACCAATCTCTGGTGGTATAGTGACTGGCGTACGAACGCCTCGAAAAGGTGGCCGAGCAGGCGTTTCAGCCGGCATGCAAGAGGCGATCGATCGTGAGGCTAACGATCCTGCAAACGTCGAGCGTCGGAAGGAGGGTATGCACAGACAACTTCTCCGTACGCACATCTGCCCAGAGTACCAGAGATGTAAGAATAGTTCGGGCGACGAGAAGTTCAACTGGTGCTATATACTAGGCCAGAAGCACTACAAGATCAAATCTCACCATATAGAGAAGTGGGCGAAGGCTATTATGACTGGACAGGCTGGCGTTGACAATATGGAACCACCTAAAGAACTGCTTGGTGAGATTCTTCACGACCAGTTTATAGAGGATCAGAAACGCCAGGGCAAGAGAAGTAAGAATATCGTGGAGGTTGATGATAACCAGGAGACGACAGTGATGACGGAAGAGAAGGCTGAAAATGCCGCACTTCCATCATCAGGGTCAAGATCTGGCCTAACCAACGCCAACAGCAACGCCATCGTCAATATATACGGCAACGCGGGGGCGCCAGATCGTCATCTTCAATATCCTAACCCATACGTACAGCTGCCGCCGCCGGCGCCGCCGCCGCCGGCATATTGGCCATATGCGAACATCTCACAGTATTCGTTGCCAACTCTTCCGCCATTGAACCTTCCAAGCACTCGTCAACCAAGTATCGCACTCCCGATTCGTTCGTCCTCGCCAGTGGTACCGGATTCGCCTCGAAAAGCTCTAGATCAAGTGGCCAGCTTCATCAAGTGGTTTATATCCGTCCGCGGCAAGCGATATAACGTCGACGAAGGGTTCAGAAAGAAGCTACAGAAACTGCGATCAGTAGACAGTAGCTTGCGGGCAATTCGCAAGTTACCAGATATTTGGTTTACTGAACAGGGTTTTACTCAAGATCTTACCGAAGATGTCAGGAACTCGATCAAATCCTTCATAGACAACAGCGCCTACTACGGAGGGCAGTCTGACGCCCTCTCCGACGTGGTATCTCACTCTGAACTTCATTCAAACCATCGAGAGTCAGAAGGAGATGTTTATACAAGAATATACGCTGGATTGCCAGGAGGGACGGCGGCGGCGCCAGTTGAAAACTCTGCGGCGCTAGTTTCAGGCGAGTTGGGGTCATCCCGACATATCGACGCCCTAGTGCCACGTCAATCCATCGAGCAAGAGATCCGTGGTACGCCAGTTGAAGTTGGTCGACGTGGTGAGTGTATATAGAGCTGTTTACTGTCGAATATGGCTAACTTTGTAGGCGTTTCGGAACTCTTTGGTTTCGTTTCGTCACCACTGCTGTCAGCGTCGCAGATGCTGCCCACGCAGTTACAGATCGAACAAGACGAAATCGAGCAAGGCGATGAGGACAATCAGATTGAAATCTCGAGTGATACGTCGTCAACAGAGACGTATTACTCGGAGGAGGATAACGAAGAAGAGTGATACAGCAAGAGTGGTGTGAAGTTTGACTGTATGCGCGATTTTTTTGCATGACGTGTTCAACCACGGAAAAGTCTACCCATAGCCGTAGATTCAACACTGCCGCTCTATACGTATAAAAGCAATAGAATTACTGTTATTTTGGATCTGCAAACAATACACTTCGGTCCATCCCGATACTGGTTAGGGGCAGTTGAAGTCTCTGACTATGGTTGAAGTCTCTGATCGTGATGACGTGTCATCATCACAAATCATCGTCACAAGCATCAACAACGCGTTTCAGCCGTTATACAGGCAAAATTGATATGTATACGTAGCTACCGACGAAAACAATGGACGACGGTATATTTTTTGTGTTCTGGTGCGCTTGTGGCTAACCTTTTGGCAATCTTGTTGGCTACAATCATGGATTTGATGATTGACCATCATATGACGACACGATTAAGATCTATTGCGCGCGAACGCACGATGAAAATTTGGATTGCTTGCTGATGTTCAATATTGGCAGCAAATCCTCCCTTTTATAGTTCGATATCGTCAAATATATGCTCTGTCCCATCAAAGTTGACGAACGAATGGCGGAAATGGCCCTCGATCTGGGGTAGACGATACCCAATCTCCATAGCGCAGTCACGTAGATATTCCATGAAATCCCGAGTGTCATTCTCATCGTTGTTCCACTTCGAATACGTCTTCCTGATGTATCGCTTTAGATCGCCGAAGTACTCTTCGATGGGGTTGAAGTCTGGTGAATACGGAGGCAGAAACTCGAGATGGACACCTGATACCCGGCATAAACCCTCGATTTCAGGTATACGATGGCAGGAGAGGTTATCCATAACGATGACAGAGTTTGGCTCTGGAAAACGCCCACATTTCGGGATAAGGCACTCCTGTAGCCAACGAAAGAACCCATCGCCGTCAGTCGTACCATAATACGTAGTCAAGTGTAGGATACCGCTCAACGTGAGGGCTGGCAGGATCTGTACGCGAGAGTTCTGAAACCGATCAATCTCTGCAGTTCGAAACGCAGCAAGCCCTTTCGGCGCCCATCCAGTCCTCCGTATCCCAGTATCCTTATTGACGCCGGATTCGTCGACGAATACCAGCTGGTCGGGGCGATATCGTCGTATACGGTACAAGTACTCGTATCGTAGTTCGTCACTTCGCTGAGCAGCAATAATCTTGGACTTCTTGTTCGTCCAGCCAGCTGAGTTTAACTGTCGACTGATTGCAGAACGACTGATCTGGATCTCGAAGGCTTCAAATAGGAAATCTTGCATCTCTTCAAGAGATAGATCGCTGCGGTACTGCAGTAGTTCAAGAAGCTCTGTACGATGCCATATTTCCATCTTTTGTCGACTCTGGCGGCACCTCTTATATCTCTGCACTTCGCCAGTGATATTACGTCGTGATCTATGTCGTCGAATCGTTCGTTCGGTACAGCCAACGATACTTGCCAGCTCGTGGGTCTTTTGGTCTTCGAATGGCAGTATCATCGCGATCGTCGATAGCTGTAGATTCGATATTCTGGGCGCCATTGTATCGTCGTCGTCGCCCGGCGTCTTTCTCGATGTATCTGATATAATAAACCACGGACATGTACTGACCAGCGGCAAACTGTAAGTAACAGGGCACAATCTATACAGCAGTAGACTCTTGCTCAATATCGTGAACAAGCTGAGCTATCAGGAGAGTCATTAATCCTGTTGACTGCCAAAGCATTTGCTCTGAAGAACCGTATCAAGCCCCTTGGTATGCTTATATATTACTCAGAGCCATACAAACCGTATGCTGAGTAGATATATAAAGTCATACAGCAGGTCTCTTCTTCTGTTCCTCAGCAAATGTCATCTTGATCTCTCATGACGAAAATAGACCTTTTGTTGGTCGAATGGTATGGGGATGAGGTGACTAGCTGGGTTGGCAATGCCTCGATGGGTAGATTGACTGCTACGGAAGCATGAAATACACACCTTATGTCTCTATCGTGTAGTTATACGTTTGAATACTACTGGGACTATAGTGATTGACGGCAATTGAGGTGTTGGTGATGACTTTGACGCGTTTTGCGTGCGATGCAGAGAAATGCGCGTCACAGCGTAAAATTGGCTTTTTTTCATGTTTTTGCATAAGCGGGGAAAAAAAAGGGGGGCGGACGCTGTCAACGCAACGGAGTGTAATATTCTTCCTTTGAGAACGAGCACCGACGGGAATAAACTCATGACACTCAACGGCGAGCGCACTAACCAAACCTTCATTGATCGAATCGAGCTAGTTGGCGCACATGGGTCTTTTCCATTGAATCCGTATGGCTCGGAGACACTTTACCGAATGAGGCTCGAGTGATCCACCGGCCCTTGCTATGAGGCCATGCTCGTCAGTCCCAATGTGTCTTGATCGCCCGTTCGGACGGAGGAGGGTCTGCAAAGCTCCTCCAATCATTCAGATCAAACGTTCTCGCTGTAACGCTGTCGCAAATTGGATCTGAAGAATATATAAAACATTACCTTGGCGCCTACTTGGCGATCGTTCTTCAGCCAGTCTCACCATCGTTCGCTGCTCCATTTCATACTCAATCTCACTCTTTTTCTCCACGCCAAGATGGCCAAGTTTCTTGCCCCTGCTGCGGCTCTGCTGCCCGTCGTGCTGGTAGCGGCGATTCCCGTCTCCAACTCCGTAAGCTGAGCCCCGTTGTTTCGTCCGATCGCAGCCCATTTCGCGACATTCAGACTGACCCGATTTTGCCCCTCTTAGACCGGCTGCACCGTTACCAAATTCGAGGATATCGCGACCGCCGTCTCGTCATGCACCGACATCACGCTCTCTAACATTGCTGCCCCGGCGGCCAGCCCCATCGATCTCCAGAAGCTGAAGAAGGGCACCAAGGTTACTTTCGACGGCACAACCACCTTCGCCACGACTGTCGACTCCAGCTTCGACCCTATCATTATCTCTGGAACTGACATTACAATCACTGGCGCACCCGGCCACGTAATTGAGGGCAATGGCGCTGCTTACTGGGACGGCCTGGGTTCCAACGGTGGTGGTGACAAGTGAGTGCAAACACTCTGGCAGAAATGAGATACGTGAAGCTAATGCGCCCGAATCAGGCCCAACCACTTCGTTGTTGTCAAGAAGACCAGCAACGCAAAGATCACCGGCCTGAACATCAAGAACTGGCCTGTTCACTGCTTCTCCATGACCGGCAACCAGAACCTTGTTGTATCCGATCTGATCCTTGACAACTCCGCCGGCGATGTGCCCAACAACAAGAGCGGCACCAAGGCTGCAGCCCACAACAGTGACGGTTTCGACATTTCCTCCAGCGACTATGTCACCCTCGACAACATCAAGGTTCACAACCAAGATGACTGTGTTGCTGTCACCAGTGGCACCCATGTCACCGTCAACAACATGTACTGCTACGGAGGTCACGGCCTCAGCATCGGCTCCATTGGCGGCAAGAGCAACAACACTGTCGATAACGTCGTCTTTTCCAACTCTCAAATCATTAAGAGCTCAAATGGCTGCCGCATCAAGTCCAACTCTGGCACCACTGGCTCCGTCACCAACATCACTTACAAGAACATCACCCTCACCGACATCGACACCTACGGCATTGATGTCCAACAGGACTACCTCAACGGCGGCCCGACCGGTTCGCCTACCAACGGCGTCAACATCAGCAGCATCCACTTCGTCGATGTTCAGGGTACTGCTACCGGTAGCGACGCCTACAACTACTACATTCTTTGCGGTGATGGCAGCTGCTCTGACATCACCTTCGAGAACACCAAGATCACCGGAGGTGGCAAGGGCGGCAGCTGCAACTTCCCCGCCAGCGGATGCCCCGCATAAGCGCTGTTTGGGCGCTTCTTTTCCTCGTAAATATTTCATGAAGTGTATACGTATAAAGACCATCACGTCATTGGGAGGCCAGACCTCTAGGTCATGAGTAGCTGGCATATATAGACCGAACAATACCAAGTATATAACTTTATTACGATAAAATCTCATGGCGGGCAACCATTTGCGCACATTCTCATCCAAATTCTCCGGAACGTTGGTGACCAACTCGTATTGTCTCGCTTCATTTGACCGATCAATACCTGGATTTTGGGGGGCAACCAGCTGCTTTGGGACCCTTGACAGCTTTGAAGTGGTCGTTCTATCTCTTTCAGTATGCCCCAAACTCTTACCCATTAGTCAACTGAATATCAACCTCTTAACACGCATAAAGCCGTGCCCAGGGTATCACCCGAGTGGGTTGACACACGGATAAGCAGAATCTGAGGCGCCGGTTCTCACATTTGATTCTACCTCGCAGTCGCTACATGCTGCTCAACGGTATCCCGGATCGCGCTCACATCCCTAATCCTCTCGCCCCCCATTCAATCTCCAGCTACCACAGTACATCAATCAGCAGGAAAGGCACATGCAGACACAAGCTGATCTAAATGTCTCTCCCCTACGACCTCCATCCCAATCCTACTTAAAACCCCCACACGGAACCGGAATCGACCAGTTCGTACTCCGACTCAAATCAAGTTGACGCCGCTCGGTGTCTTGTATAGAGCGATAATCGCATACTTTACTGGGTTCCGAGTTGGCTACCATTTGCTCTTGAGGCTTCTGTCGTGTAGAACTCGGGCAGCAAAGATTATGGCGCCTCCCCCGAGAAGACAGCACCCCTGAAAATAGGCATCTCATCAGCAAACCTGCAAATCTGAGCCAATTGAACAAAGGAGGTAAATATGACTTACAGCAAAAATGATAAGAGGATGATACCCAGTCCTGGTGTCGCTCTGAATCAAGGCCCCAGCTATCGGACTGCCCGTCAGGACAGCCATGGCGGTAACGGTACCAAATGCTCCAAGCCTGGCTCCGAGCTTTCCGGTGGGAATGATTTGCCCGATGGCAGCAGGCATGACTGATATAAAGACCCCAGATGCAAAGCCGTAGAGACAAGCGAATGCAACGAGTACCCCAGGCGTCGTTGCAGGAAGCCACATGACCACACACAACAGTCCGCAAAGAATAATCATCGGATACAGAAAGTTCAGCCGGCCAATGCGGTCCGCTGCATATCCACCACTGCTAGAGTCAGAAGGCGTCCATATTTCAAGCGGGGACGCATAGCCCAGGGAGAGGGTACACACATAATACGTCCGAAAAGACTCGATGCGTTGATGAGAGGCAGTAGGTACGACCGAACCTTTGAGTTCGGATCGAGGGCGACACAAAATGGCTCTGCAAACCGTTAGACACAGATCCTACGCGAAGACCTGGGGCATAAACACAAACTCTAAGACTCACCTAAGTAGTAAAATGGGACATACACGCCCAGGCTTGCGATGACCGCTCCAGCCGAGAGACATGAGTAGCGTATATCTAAGAAGCCCCTGTAATCAAGCAAGCTTCCGAGAGATTTCAGCTTCCTCTTTGGCTGCTTTGAAGAGGACACAACTATGGCCAAACCGTAACAGGTCAGCAGAATCACGGCGCCAACACGGAGTGCCCATGCAAAGCCAATCTGGGGGACGAGTCTCGAAAACATGATCGGGAGGCAAACCCCGCCCAGGCTGCTGCCAGATGCCACAATGCCCATGGCCATGGCACGCTTTCGGTGGAAATATTGCCCTGTTACGGTGAGAGCCGGCTAAGTATTCCAGGTTAGTACGTTTTAGAGCTTGCATTACTGCAAATGAAGCTCCTCAACCAACAGTCCTGGCGAATGAATAAGATGCGACCCACCTGAACTCCGTAGGCAACAGTGAGGCCAAAAAGGAGAGATTGAGCCAAGAACTGCTGCCAAATCGCGTTGGGCTGAGTGAAAGATGTTGCAAGCATAGAGCCAGCGCCCCCGATCGCGGCGAACAGGTAGAGCCACTGAGGAAAGTTTAGCATATTCATGGCACCCATCCCGAGTTCCAATGGAGTAACTTACCTTGGGACCGTAAAGATCAAACAGTGCTCCAGCGACCGAGCCCGAGAGGTACATCAGCGTGATTTGCAGCGTGCCAATGAAGGAGATGGCGGTCGGCGAGTAATTCTTCAGATATTCTTGCTGGTAAAAAGTCTGGAAGAAACCGAAGCTGTTCACGACGCCAAAGGATGCGAAGTAAACCAAGAAGGAGCCGGTAACTGCGAACCATGCCTGCGTGCCTCCCTCCGGATACACCTCTTCCTGTGCGGGCGAGAAAACTCCATCTTGCGTTCCAGAGATGTTCTCAGGGTCGGATGGAACGATGGAGTTGTGCTTCTCGGACCGAGACTGACCTGATAGAGTGTTACCCGCCATGGTTCACAACGTGAACTGGCTTGTCAAATAAGGTTAGGTTGGCAAATGTGCTTACAGCGAGGATGATGTGGCGACCGTAACGATACGGTCGGTAGTGATTGTTGATGGTGTTTGCGACAAAACTTCGCTCGAATCTTATGGAGGAGAGTGGTGTTTGTGACCAGGGAACTTTCCCGGGGGCACGCCTTTGGGCGAAAGGATATATATACCTTATTTCGCTGTGGGCTTGCACAATCCTCCTTTTCCGAATTGGGACACATTTTCCTTGCAAAAGTTCCTTCGCGCCGTCCGGCGATATCGGGTCGCTCTCCACAGCTTGGCAAACTAGCCAATTGGTATTAAAGTCGGAGCTCCCAACTGGGTGCTGGGTTCTTTATCGCATTGTTTTCTCCGCATCCTCAATCTCAGCGCTATCACAATGATGAACAACTCCCAGGCTACACAACAGTCACCCAGTAAACATGTTAGACGCCTTGCATTGAATGTAAACGCCCCCCTGTATTCCAGATGCATATGGTACCGCGCCTGACGCTCTGAAGGCATGTGCATCCTGCCGCGAGAGAAAGACAAGATGTAACGAAGCGAAGCCTTCTTGTGATCGGTGCAAGAGACTGGGACTGGCGTGCGCATATGTGGAGAGCGTCGCATCCAAGTGAGATCCAACAGTGTTGATCGTTCTAGTCAAAGTTTTCTCATGAACTCTCCGTCTGTCAGGAAAGGTCTTTCAGTCTCCGAATTGGCTGGCGCCCTTCAACGAATGGAAGACAAGATTGACAACCTTGTGGCAAAGACAACGGCAAACCAAGGGGTTGGCCCACTCAGCGATCGCAACCATCCAAGTTCTACGACACAACCTCCTAATACCCCAGATCCAGCCAGCCCCATCAGCGCCTTTACGCCCTCAAGGCTCGGGTCGGTTCAGATTCGTCAGGAACTGGCGATACCAGAGCGTCACTGCACAGCGCCACAGCATTTACTAACATGGTCGTGTTCGCCCTTGACTCTAAGCGACCGTGAGCTGCGATACCCAGTCGACCTTGAAATTAAGCAAGCCAGACTGAGAAAGACCACTGCTGCACCAGTATGTCTGTCGCAGAACATGAGCGAAGTGAGCAACAGCTGGCTATCCGCAATATCCTTGTCTCAACTCCGTGACCTAGCCAACCTCTATTTCACTCACTTTCACCCCCAATGTCTTATTCTTGATGAGGACAATTTCTACCATCATCATCTTAGTCGGACCCTGAGAGTCGGTTTTGATGACAATTTAAGCAGCTGCGTTGTACTTCTAGTACTTTCCCTTGGTTCCGTTGTCGCATGTCAGACTGATGGCAGAGAATGGGCTCAGTCAGATTCTGCCACTGACATGCTTAAGTTTGAGGCCGGTCTCAGCTTCTTCAATCTAGCTTGCAGCATATTTCGTGATGTTGAAGATGTTAGCTGGGAAAGCGTGCAGTGTCTTCTGCTCATCGCGTAAGCATCACTCATCGCAGTCTGAATCCTGCAACTAACACAAAGAGTCTTTACAACTCATCCAAACTCAGAGTTTACGATCATTGGCGTTTCATCAACAAAGCCTGTTCGACTGTGATAATCTTGCTGCCTTTGTATGTTGACTCATTTCAAAAGTTCATGGGCATTGTCTAAATAAAGGTTTGATAGAGAGGAACAGCTGCGAGCTCACCATTGCCAACTCTACTGGATTGCATACCTACAAGAAAGGTAAGTGCCGCTGCTGCACTTGTTGATATCATAACGCTGACAATATTCCAGTCAAATACTCGTCGAGTTTGAATTCCCCTCGAGCGGTCTTAGTGGGCTTGAAAGCTCCGTTCCGTTGCCGCTTCTCCCAGATCCTGGGATCGACCCGCGGCAAAAGGAGTACCAATTCTTCTTCCTTGCCCTCGTTTCAATGAGAAGACTCCTTAATAGGATTCACTCCCATTTGTACAATCAAGGTGACTTGAGAAAACTCCGCGATGTAGATCGATACTAATTTTGACTGATTATACAGAGCGGCTTGTGATTCCAACTCCCTCCGTGCTCTACGAACTCAACCGGCAGATTGAGGAGTGGAAACAATGTCTCCCCTCTGCATTTCAGTTCTCGGATCTCACACTATCGGATGAAGTTCGAATTGCTTCTCAAACCGACAAGCGCAGCATGCAAGAGAGGCTCAAGGGTCACTTGAAGGCCCGCTATCATGCCGCCAAAACCATACTCTACCGACCTCATGTTCACAGGGTGATACACAGCTCTGGAGTAGATGCCGCGGATTACGAACTAGATTGTGCTAAAACTGCTATTGCTTCGGCGCTGATAGGAATTCTTCACGGCGGGATAATGCACGAGCCTTTCCAGCTTCTCCTGTTTCCCATTAACTCCTGGAGAACGTAAGTTACCGCCTCGATTCGAACGTTCTGGAGACATCTGACAAACCTGAAAAAGGCTATTTGCAATAAGAATCCAGATACAAATGATTCAGAGAACGGAGGTTTCGGGATTGGCAGCGGCCTTGCTGCCAGATGGCTGGGAAGTGATTGATCGGGTTCAGGCAATCATTGTTGACGCGGCATCTCCTTTTTCACCGACAATCACCAGGGATTACGAGATTGTTCAGAGTCTCGCAGAAGGATAACTATTTGTAAGCATTTGTCATGCGTTCATTCTTGATGCATCCAGCATTCTACTTAAACATCATATTTTACTGCAACTTAATGAACCCACCGGGCTGCAGCCTTCGAGCGAAACTCCGCCGCCAGCCCCTCATCCCTAGAGTCCTTCGCCGCAGAAACCATGAACACGGCATTTCCTTCAATTACCCATTTCTGAATGCTGTCGTCCCAGTAGGAGATACTCCCCCGATCCAGTGTAGCCCGAGCAGTGGCAGTCTCCCCAGGACGCACAAACACCTTGTCCCACCCCTTCAGCTCCCTCAGAGGTCGGCCGAGTGTCGGCTTGGACACCGGGCTCACGTAAAACTCCACTACTTCCTTGCCGTCAACGCCCCCAGTGTTGGTCACGTCAACCTGAACCTCAATCGTTTCGTCCACAGCGAGAGAACCGCTGCTCAGCCTGATGTTAGAGTATGCAAATGTCGTGTACGAGAGACCATATCCGAAGGGGAACAACGGCTCAATCTTGCGATGGTCATAGAATCGGTAACCGAGGTAAAGGTTTTCACCATAGTGAACCACATCATTCTCTCCGGGGTAGTTGTCGAACGAGGGTGTGTCCTCAATGCGGCGTGGGAATGTGATTGGCAACTTCCCACAAGGATTGGTGGTCCCGAGAAGAATGTCGGCAATACAGTTGCCCTGCTCCTGCCCTTGATACCAGGCCTGAACAATGGCTGGCACTTCGTTGACCCAGGGCATCGTGATTGGGCTGCCTGTCTGATTGATGACAATGGTCCTGGAATTCGCTCTCACCACAGCCCGCACCAACTCGTTAGATTGCCCTGGTAGATCCATGGAGACCATATCGCTTGTTTCCGTCTCCCATTCATGATCTTTCCCAACGACCACAATCGCTATGTCGCTACGGCTGGCGAGGTCAACGGCTTCCTGTAGCATGGCATCGAGATCGCCAGGGTTCTCCAGGAATCCAACTCGACCACCATCTTGAACCTCCTCACGTTCAAGCATGCCCGTGTAAGTCATGTCGTACGGCTTAGGCTCGCGACTGATGGACTCAAGGACAAGCTCGTATGATTGTCCGGCCTTCAGCTCCACTTCAACGCGTTCTTCAGGCGAGCCGTAGCTCATAAAAAGAGAGGACTTGGGTGACCACCACCGGCGTTCAATGTTGATGATTACCTTTTCGTCGAGTATAAGCTTCCCGGGTCCGCAACTGGAAAGGGAAAACTGATGTACTCCAGTGGTTTTGGGCGTCAGAATCGTCTTGGCGCGGTAGGAGTACCTTTCCCCAGTTGTCAACTCTGGCGGAAGCCCGTCGTAGCAAACCAGATTCGAACTCGGTCGGTGCTCAGTCATGAAAGGCGTGCCCTCGTGCTTCATGTTTCTCCAAAGCGACAATACGAATCCAGGGGAGCCGGTCTTCGGGTTCGTCATCACCGAAGGCTCAAGAAGAGGAAGGTAACGGTGAGTGAGTATGCCTGGCTTGGTCACGACTTTCGCAGTCGGATAAATGCTGGAGATCTCCTTGCTGAAAGAGCCGAACGGTGTAGTACGGTAGTGAGGTGAGAGATTCGAACTCCCGCCTCCAGTCGCAACGGACCTGTTTGCGTTGGGGCCGATGAACGCTATGGTCTTTCCGTCAAGATCCTTCAAGGGAAGAATACCACCCTCGTTCTTCAACAGAACAATACCTGTAGAGCTGTTAACGCAATCCTTTCTGGATGACCGATGGTTTCTGGAGTAGACTCACCTTCGGCGCCGGCGCGGCGCAAGATTGCCCGATGCTCGGGGAGATCGACGGCCTGCTCAGGTCCTTCTTTCCAGTCGGGAATTTTGCTCTTCCCAGTCTTGTGGACAAGCTCGAGAACCGTACTTGCGGAAGCATCGATGAAGGAGCTGTCGACCAGGCCTTGCCGGTGAGCTTCAAGAAGGTGCTTGCCCCGCCTCCTCACAGGCCCCGGCATTTCAAGATCCAGACTGCAATGATCCGTAAGCTTCGTGAACATCCTTGAGATTTCCCAGATGACGTACCCAGCTGTAAGAGAGGGAACAACGCTATTGGTCCCAAACCAGTCACTCATAACGAGTCCGTCCCAACCCCACTCGCCACGGAGGATATCTCTGATGAGGTAGTGGTTCGCAGAGCAGAAGTTTCCGTTTACCTTGTTGTAAGCCGTCATGATCGACCACGGGTTGCTGTCGCGGACTGCGATTTGGAAAGGCTGGAGGTGGATCTCACGCAGGGCGCGCTCGGGAATCTTCTCGTCGATGAAGAAGCGGCGATTTTCCTGGTCGTTGGCGGCGTAGTGCTTCACACAGGCCCCAATGCCAGCAGCTTGGATCGTGTTGATGTACTGAGCGGCAAGCTTGCCCGTCAAGAAAGGGTCCTCGCTGTAAGCTTCAAAGTTGCGCCCGCTCAGAGGGGTCCTTGGGATGCAAACTGGATGTATCGAGTATCAGTGCTAAATTCAACCGACCCTAGCGGCAGATAACAGAACCGCACTCACCAGTCGGTCCTAGCAGAACATCAACCCCCTTGCTCTTGGCTTCTGCTATCAAAACTTGCGATACGTCCTCGATTACTTGCTTGTCCCAGGTAGCGGCAAGTGACACGCTGTTTGACTCGTCAGTCTAACATAAATGACAATAATGAGGCAACATTTCTTGTTCAGAACACTAACCCGGATGGTAATGAAGCTGCAGTCACTCCATCGACGAAGATTCCCCCGCGCACGCCAGTTGGTCCATCGGAAGTCTTGATTCTGGAGATGCCCAGCCTAGGGATGGGATTCGTGCGCCAGAGGTCTTCTCCAGTCAAAAGCAAAATCTTCTCTTCCAATGTCATCTGTTTGAGCTTCTCATCCGCAAAACCTTTTGCATCTTGAGTGGCAGTCACAGGGACCTTTGAGGGATCATGATCCCGACCATGTCTCTCGGTGTCGAGCATGTTGAGAGTGAGCCAAATCAAGCGCCGAGTAAATCCGCGTGAAGAACACGGAAGAGTTGTGAAATACTCTCGAAGGAAAGTCGTGCATACTGCTTATTTTGAATGACCTTGAAACCGGAGGCAAGACGACAAACCGAGACTTCAGGCATACCCGCAACATGTGTTCGTGACCCATCGTTCAACTTCAGTGTGGCCATCGGCGCCGGTCCGCATCTCCCCGCCTGGTTTGCTTAACCTGGCAGCAACAAATCCGGACCGCACTGGAATAGATTCAACTAGCCAATTGGATCATGAGCAAGACTGCAGTTGCAGTGGCGGAACTTGCATAAAGCCCCCACAATATGATCACCGCCGTTGGAGGCAGTCCGTTTCTCCCCGCTCGTCCTCTGCGATTACCACACTGGGCTACGCCGCGCTCGCCCAGGCTGTTGCCAAGACCTGGGGAAGCCCTCCCCCGCAGATGTCATCCGGGGTTTGGGAGGAGAACATAGCTAGAATCGCACTATGTAGCTGGGTCTAACGCCATGTCGTAAGTCTTGAAGTACGGCCTGGTGAGATTCCAGAACCAGGCATCTGGAGGTGTGCTCTCATGTCTTCCACAACATCATTCAGAGGGGCGCATACAAATAGGCCCAACATGTTGAACCGCATAGCTTAGAGTTCATGATCCTTAGATCTCATCTCCTCGCGTTTCCCGCCCCTTGCCCATGTTTGATCAGACGATGGATTCCAATTCCTACCCTACCACATTCCGAACGGTGGCAGAGATCCTCGCGTCAGATTCTCGGCCTGCGCTCTCTTCCCTCACGCCTTCCCTCATCCGTCCCTATGCCATCCTTGCGCCAGCTTGCCTCGTTGTCTGCGCGACTAATGGCTACGACGGCTCAGTATTGACCGGCCTCCAGGGCGTAGTCGCCTGGAACCATGAGTTCGGGAGTCCCAAGGGAGCTCTCTTAGGAATCACTAGCGCAGCCTACCCCCTCGGCGCAATCCTTTCGACTCCCTTCTCAGCCATGATCTCCGACCGTTTCGGGCGCAAATGGTCCATTCTCATCGGCAGCTGCATCATGATCATTGGCGTATTGATACAATGCCTCAGCCACTCCATCGGCCTCTTCATCGGGGGACGTATCGTCGTCGGGTTCGGCATCACCATGGCCCTCGCCGCCGCCCCGGTGCTGATATCCGAGCTCGCACATCCCCGACACCGCGTCCTCTTCGGTTCGCTTTACAACACCAGCTTCTACCTGGGTGCCCTGACGGCGGGATGGGTTAACTTTGGCAGCTATCGCATCCCAGGCTCTTGGTGCGTAATCAAGATGCGAGTTGTCAGCGGCTGCTAACTTGAGGAAAAGGGCATGGCATCTGCCAACTATGCTTCAAGCGGTTCCAGCCTGCATCCAGATGATCTTTGTCTGGTTTCTAGACGAGTCCCCTCGTTGGCTGTGCTACAAGGACCGCGAAGAGGAAGCCTTCAACATCCTCGTCAAGCACCATGGCGGCGGCGACCCGAACGACCCCCTCGTTCTCGCGCAATTCCACGAGATGAAAGTCGCACTGCAGCTGGAAAAGCAAGTACAAGACGCGGGCCCCAAGCTGTTTCTCAAAACACCTGCCAACCGTAAGCGGCTGCTCATTCTTGTGACGCTTGCTGTCGCTGGTCAATGGTCCGGGAATGGGTTAGTCAGTTACTACTTGACTCGCATCTTCAGCAGCATCGGCATCACAAGTCAGCGGGAGCAGACTTTACTCAACGGAGTCATCAGCACGGTGAACTACGCAACCGCCCTCATGGCGGCGGGGTTGTCGACGAAGCTCGGCCGGCGGTGGATGTTCGTCGGCGGCGGAGTTGCCATGTGGCTGACCTTTTCGTCGCTCACAGCCAGTATTGCCGTCTACAACACCAAAGGGACAACGGCTTCGAGCCAAGCTGCGTTGGCGTTCATCTTCATATACTATGCGGCATTCAACCTGTGTCTGAACCCGCTTCTCTTCCTCTACCCGACGGAGATCCTGCCATTCAGATTGAGGGCGATGGGGTTGAGCATTCTTGTATTCGCCAATAAGGCAGCGTCGTTCCTGAACCAGTTTGTCAACCCGATTGGGATGGAGTCTCTGAGTTGGAAGTACTACCTTTTCTATGTCGGATGGCTACTGGTCGAGATCGCGGTGTTCTACTTTCTGTATCCGGAGACGAGGGGGTACAGTCTGGAACGCATGCAAGAGGTGTTTGGGGAAGAGATAAAAGATGATGGGCCAGAGGAGAAGGCATCCATCATCAACGAGATGAGAGCGGTAGAGCACAAGGAGTGAGAGAAGTCCATACTTTCAAACATAATCATTAGAAGACTCAGCGGTGACTTATCTACGATCTAAAAGTAAAACCAAATCAGTCGTACTCGTGCCCCTGGATGATACATATGGTCTTCAAAAACAAGGCACTCTCTTCGATCCGCAGCCAGCAAGCACCACTGAGTTGTCCGTTGAGAAACTCACTGAGAGGGTGCAAGCCAAAAAATGAAAGGGACGAGACTCGAACTCGCGCGGGTTGCCCCACCAGGAAACAGATGTTAAGCTGACCTTAACCTGGCGCCATAACCAACTCGGCCACCCTTCCGTTGGTGATCATGGGAACGGCTCCCGAGATCGGATGTGGATGCCGGAATCGACCGGGGAAGATGTTCATATGCCGGCGTCGTATGGTGTGGGAGAGGCTTAGGGCTTCGGCTACGGAGGGGGAGAGGCTTTGCGGATGGGATCCACGCACTTGGGAGAGATCCACTGACTGACTGAGTCGGCACAAGCTGGGCTCCCTCCGGGTTTGTGGAGCATATGAAGTCAAGCGCGATCAATTCAGCGGGTGGCGAGGTCATCACAAGGTTCAGATTGACGGGAGCTGAAGTTGACATGGCAGAGAAAAAATCAACACGCCGGGCTTGAGTGACCGACCCCGGTAAATGCATATACCAAAAAAAAAAAACATGCAACTACGGGGCGATCGTCAAAGCCTTCGTCCGAACCAACAAGTTGCGATGAACATACCCAAACCTTAGAACTGGGATTGTAATTCTTACGATCAGTGGCTGAGCAGACCCCCAAAACCAACAGAGGATCACGAGTGTCAAAGAAAACCTCAGCCAAAACACAAAACGGTTTGGGGCTTGAGGCGTTCTCAAAGCCGTTGAAACGGTGCCGCAGCTGCTGGAAGACTAATTAGTTGAGCACCTACCTGAAAGCACGTTGCCATCACCAGAAAAACACCTCTAACCCGACCCGGCCTTTTGCGTGTGCTTTCGCAGCCGGGCGCGGGAAGCCATCCCGGGAACGGGACCGATCAACGGGCGCGGCCTTGGCAGAAACTCAATGCATCGTCATTCTCTCCCCCCCATCTTCCCCAACACTTAGGTCGGGAAATAATCATATCAGCATGTGAGGCGGGGGAGATATCCGTACACGGCATGCACGTTGCATCTATTCATCTCCAAGTCACCCGTGCATAAACGGGAAAAAAACAAGTGCTCGGCACCGCATCCCGGGAGGAGGTAAACAAATGCGGCCCAAATCTCCAGCCAGTCCTCGCCAAATAGGGAAACGAAAAAAGAAGCATTTAAGATTAAATATTGGAACTGGGAAGAAAGGGCCCGGGCCAGACGCAACGAATGAATAACCCGACAGCACTGCCTCACTCGCCAAAAATTCAATCTTTCTTTCTTCCAAGCGAGAGAAAAGCCAAGTTTATTCCTCTCCATCCAATGTCGATGAACGGCATCAGGGGAAAGGGAGGTGAGGGTCAATGCCTAGGTAGGTAGGTACCTTACCTAGCCGAACGCGTCTTCCCCACTGCTTCCCGCGGTGCCGCTGGCACTCTAGAACCAAGTTTTTGTTGGCCTTGGGTGCGCTTGGCTCTGAAGATGGTTTAGCTCCAGGTACGACGACGGCGTGATTCGCTGCGTGCCTGACACGGGGGGCAAAGAGCGCATGGAAATGTAAACAGTGCATTGCGCCATCTCGTTGTCGCGTTATCTACTGCGGAGTATGACTTCGAGATTGAAGCGCGACCAGAACATAAACTATGATGATGACGATTGAAAAGACAATGGTATGAATCAATTCAAGCAATGACGCACCAAGAGGTCAATGTTGTCCGCGCCGGCGTTGGTGGTGAGGCGCGCCAACACGAACAAAAATCCAATGATTTACCAACACCATTCTAAAATTAGCTCAGCCTCCTCGAAAGAGTCGACCAGAAAAAAAGAGAAGGGCACCACCTGCGCCCGGTTTTGTGGGCGTGTCTTCACTGGGTTCCCTGTTTCCCTGCAGCGCATTTGGAGGAAAGAGGGCCAATACGAAATGGACGGGCCGCCGCCAGTGGTCCAGAACTTGGACCGGACTCGACCTTGGGCCCTGGGAGTGGGGAGAGATCAGCACACCTCATTTCCGACTCTGGGGGATTGCTGCCGCCCAATGGGAACGCAGATCTGGGTCTGACCCTCTCTGAGTCGCCGGCGCTCACCGAGTCAGGAGCTTAGACACACCAGGCTGTGGTGGTTCATTATGTTACACGGGCTGTTCGGTGTGAGACAATGTCATACGGGCGGTTGTCAGCTTACGATCAAGTCACTGGTGCGCGAGGCATGTGGGATGTCTTTGATGATGGTTTGAATGATTAATCACATTTCCTTCAGTCTATCCGCAGTCTATCCACGATTATGATACCAGAATGCACACATGTCCAGTGTGTGAGTCAAAATACACGCTGCTATTCCCTCATGTGCTGCTCAAACTTTTTACACCGAAATTGCTGCTGCTGCTACTCCCCACGCTTAGTAGAGGAAGGCAATGGCGCCGGCAATGACGGCCAGGGCACCGGTGGAGAGGACCTTGACAGTGGTGGCACCGGAGCCGACGGTGGAAGCGGAGCTGCCAGCGCCAGTGGTGGTGGAAGAGCCGGAGCCGGAACCGCTGCCAGAGCCGGAGCCAGAGCCAGAGCTGGCGGTGCCGCTGGGGGAGGCAGTGGAGACGGTGGTGTTACCGCCGGATCCAGAAGAGCCAGAGCCAGAGCCAGAGCCAGAAGTGCCGTTGCCGGGCTTAACGGTAGCGGTGGAGGAGGCAGTGCCGGTGGTGGTCTCGGTGGGGGTGTCGAAGGTGGTAGGGCAGGTGAGGTTGAAGAGGGGCTTGGTGGACAGGTCCTTGGTGATGGCGAACTTCATAGTGTTGTCGGGGTTGGAGTCACGGAGGTTGTACCAGAAGGTAGGGGTCTTGCCGAAGAGCTGACGGCAGCCGATCTCGTCCCAGTAGGTCTTGGCGTTCTCAGCAGAGGGAACAGCCTCGTCCCAGGTCTCACCAGTGACGGGCCAGCCGGTCTCAGTAACCCAGACGGGCTTGCCAGCGGCGGTGGCGATGGTGGCCTTGTAGGCCTTGTCGAAGAGCTTGCCAGCGTTCTCGATGCTGTTGCCCTTGTCGTTCTCGTAGTAGGGGTACTCATCGACACCGACCCAGTCAATGGCGTCGAGGACGGGCTTGTTGGTGGCGTTTCCCCATACGTCCCAGGTGTCGACGTGGCCGATGGAGACCTTGGACAGAGGAGTGTCCTTGAAGGCGGTCTTGAAGTCGTTGATGAAGCCGACAATGGTCTTGGGGTCGGCACCGACACCAGACTTGTTCTTGACACCGGTGACGGAGTTGCGGTACAGGTCCTCAGAGCCGATGGAGGCACCGATGATGAGGTCGGTCAGCTTGGTGCCGTACTTGGTGACGGCGGTCTTGAGGGCGTTGATCTCCTTGTCGATGTTGTCGGTGCCGGAGGTCCAGACGCCGAGGAGGATCTTGGTGTTGGTGTTGATGGCAGCCTCGAAGGCCTCGATGGGGTCCTCGGTGGAGTAGGCCTGGATGTTGGTGTAGAGACGGACGGCGTTGAAGTCGCCGGGGGCACCCTCGAGGTTCTGGGCGGTCTTGAACTCGGCCTCGAAGTCGGCCTTGAACTTGGCAGAGCGGTCGGCCTTGGTGGCACCAGAGTTGAAGCCAAGGTAGTTCTCGGCGGCAGCGGTGGCCGCGAGGGCGCTGATGGCGACGGCAGAAACGGAGGCCTTCATTTTGATGATGTGTGATTATGCGTGTGCAACTGGGAAAGAATAATCGCTCTCGTGTCGGTCGGGAGGTATCGTAAGACGGATAGGCAGCAAGAGAAATCCCAGAGGCTGTTTATTAAGGCTGGGAGGTGCTGTGGTTGGTCGGGGACTGTTTGGCTGTGACTAAAACAAATAATAAAGAGTGTGGAATAGTTGGGTTTGTTGTCGAGGACCAAAAAGAATGACTGGCAAAGGGAAGGAGGTGCCAAAGAAGGTGTCGACAACGAGTGGGACAAGGCCGGGTATTAAACACACGAAGGAATTCGGGAGTCCGAGTGAGGGTGGAGTGTGGTGAATGAAGATGGAAGGGGAAGGGGAAGGGGAAGGGGAAAACAATGACGGCTGTCGTATTGGCCTTGGACGTCACGAAATTAAGGAGGTCCCCGGCTCAGGGGGGGAGCGTGCGGGGATCACGTGAAGCGACTGGACCTGGACCAGGCCTCAGGTCCGCTGAACAATGCCCGCTGCAGACAACAGGGCACTGCTGGAACTCGTACACAACCCGGAAAGGAACACTGGAGAACCAAGTTTGTTTTCCGGGGCTTGTTGACGAGGGCTGAAAATGTAAAGTCGCCCAGCTGGGGCCTGGCGCGCTGGAGCCGCTCCACTTGTGCTGGAAGATCAGCCAAGGCGGTGAATGCAACCACTGACGCAGGGGAACAGACGCTGCTGCTGTTGATGCTGCCGCTATGGATTGCATTGACTCGCTGTTATTCACACTCGCGTTGTCGTGCGTTTCGTTGTGCATCTGTCATCCCATCTTGTTTGCTTTTTTCTCCCACGTCGCGTCGACTCACGGCACTTGATGACCTGTGCCTGTGCCAATGCCACCCAGATGCCAGACGTGCATCTCAAAACTCATCCAATCTTCCTTCAAATTCATGGCTCGGACGGGAGTGGCGGACGAGGCGCTTGGCTAATTCCCAGCGGCATTCCACTCACCACCTCCAACGGCCCCAAGGCTTGCCGATGATTCTTACACAAGTTGAAACGTCGCGACATCCAACTGCAAATTGACTAGCTTTGTTCCAGTCCAGGTCATCTATCTCTCTGTCTTAGTCGTGGCTTTGGGCGTTGATGCCATTGTGTGAGTCTGCCATGTGTTTACGCTGCATCGGCATCGAATCCTGCATATCTATGTATGCATCTACCGAGATCTCTTAAGTGCATACGCACAGCCCCTGAGCAAGTTTCCAATGAAGTCGGGCAATGCAATGATCATTCCATGTCACTGATCATTGGCAACAATGGTCTCAACCAAGCGTCGTCGTTTCTTCCAAGCCTCTCTTTTCCATGATTCTACATCTTGGCTATGCAACTACCGTTGACCCCAAAAATAAGCAAGGCGCAGCGGCTGTCCTCCCACCGGCAACTGGCTGGCCGGCTGCCTCCGCCTCGGCCACCGGCGAATGGCCCTCCTTGTCTCCCGCACCTACGGGGCCGAATCGGTGCCCGCGGACGACACGGCCGAGACGCGGGGCTTCTCACGCAGCTCAGGAGCAACTTGGAGCGCCGTTCAACCAGGTTCTGTATTCTCAGCTCTACACTAGAGTCCTACTTCAGGTTTATCTCTTGATACCCTACTCTCTCCCAAACATCGAGATCCTCGAGCTCAGCCATTCCGACGCGCTGGTAGAACCCGTTCCCAGCGTCGACGACCATGAGACCGATGCCCAACTTCCTGCTATCCCGGAAAATTGTCCCAAGAAGCAAAACCTGTAACTCTCTGCCTTGTATCTCTTTCTCGAAAGCATCCTCGTCCAAGTCAGGTAACTTGTCGCATCCTCCCGATATGATATCACCGTCCTTGTCTCTTTGGTCCGCACCCAGGTCGTCAGCCTTCATCATGCGACATTCAAGTACCGCATGTCTTGGGACCCTTGTCCCTAGAGTATCCCATTCTTTGACCTTCGCATCTTCCTTGATGAACATCTCGGTGTACTTCACCTGCCGACTCAGCGATGCCCAAGACCAGCTCGGTGCTCGATCTGATCTCTGCGACTCCTCTTCTCCCACGTCTGCATCTATGGGCTTATACCACGCAAGCAGCTCAATGAACCATTTCTTCCACAGCCCAAAGTAATTACTGTCCTCCCACAAAACCTCCAGCTCCCTCGTGGTTCCCCTCAGAGCGTTCAGCCTGTCGTTGGGGTCACTCAGCGACCGCCGAGTGTATTGCCACACAACAGTCTTCCACAGATACATCTTCTCCTCGTCGTCACTACCAAATAGTCCAGCATTGTCCTCGTTGAAGCTAGTCCACGGCAGCCCTTCCAGCGGCTGCAAATAGTCCAACGCGTCATCTCCCCCCACCACACTCTGCAAATCAAACCCTTTGCATTGCCAGAGCAGCTCGTACTCCGAAAAGATCAGCAGCCGCGACGACAGCATGAACTCTTGAAGCACCCATCCACGCTCATCCAACGTGTGCTTCGGCACATGGGGCCGCGATCGAAGATACACCGTCCCCTCTGGACCCTGTCCTTTCGACCCGTCCACAGCTATCTTGACTTCGGGGGTATATGTGCTTCTCTGCCACAAGAACCCATCCATTGCTCTCTTCGCCGTTCCAGCTGCGATGGTGATAGCGGCGTTCTTGTAAATCGTCGCCATTCTCCCGACCTCTTTCTCCTTGTCCCTGGCACAGTCCTGAATAATGCAGAAAGCGTCCACCCAGAGGTACCTGAATCCGAGCTTCCTCGTTACCTTGATCGCGTCCTTCACCGACTGCTGCAAGGTCTCTTCTTGTATGCCGCCCTGTGTAGACATTTTCGTCAGAGTATGCTTGCATAAACGTACTCTCTGTTTACCGCCCCAGCAATAGCTTAACGCGATGTACTCTCCACGCCTCTCCGTCTCATTGACGAACAGATGAAGAGAGGGTTCTTCAATGGTGCCCACGTCGAGGACACGGGAGGGCAAAACTGTGTTGCGAGAGAATTTGCATCCCTCGTGTTTCTTTGCGTCGTCGTCGTTCTTTGGGTGTTTGCATTCATCATAGAGCTGTCTCGCCTTGCTCAGGACTGCCTGAGCCTTGACTTCTCGCTTAAGGGGTCGGCGAGAAACCAATGCCGCCATAGGATCGCCTTTGCAAGTTGTTAGTATACAGCGTGGCGGAAATATAAGACTGTATGAAGGACCTCTCCCACCTTGCTTCGCATAGGGATGAATTCGTATCACAATCTTTGTTTTCGGTGTCATCTCTTTTTTTGGCATGATCTTCTTTTTTGACGTGCTGTCTGTTTTTGGTGTGAAGTATCCCTCCAAAACATTGAAGACCGGGCAACGTGTGGTCCCCGCTTTGCCTGCCGGACGGCGATTTCGAAAGATTAACGGTTTGTTAATGGGCCACCCCGTCTCGTCTTCTCCTACTTCGACAGACTCAGCTATCAAGTAGCATGATGGACACCCTGGTTCGGCGTTGATAGAGCGAAGAAACTCGGTGTGAGTAAAATGACGAAACCCTGCTTTGGAGTTGAGTCTATTCAGGCCTTCTTCCGAAAACATGAGACTGCATCTGGCGCAGGCTATGTCCCGGTCTGAATCACTTTCACCACGAACCCTTCTCGGAGGTCGAGGTGGATAGTCCTCATCTTCCGCCTCCATCGTCGCTGCCTTTCGACGATTATCCGCCCTAAAGGGGAGAGTTAGGCTCATAGTCGGCACCGCGAGACGACAGTTGAGACTGGAACATAGAGCGTGACTAGACCGGAGGATTGTAGGGTATGACCTGAACTCGCTCAAAGATGTAAAACGTCCGGAAGAAGTTCACAATTGTAACGAGAGAGCCGCCGAGGGCGCCATCAAATCTGCCCTGCACTTATGTGGTGTTCCCCCAAGAGGGGCAGTTGGCCGACCCCTGTGGCTGAGTCTGCCTGCAGGAAGGCAACCAGGCTAGCATGCACGAATGCCAAAACAGGGCGAGTATTCAGGCAACCATTGCGACCTTCGACAAGGCTTTTATGCAGTTGGATTGGGGCAAATTGCGACTATGGAATTTGCCTTGGTTGGTATCTACCTATTATCTGCAGTAATTGCAGTGCGTGGGGCATTTCAGAATCAAGGAGTCCAAGGACCACTACATACCAGATTAGGGAACAAAACGTTGAGAGGGGAGAAGAGAAACAACTCAATTGTATCAGGGTATTATCAAAAGAGTCCAAGGTCAACTCATAAACTCGTCGCAATCATCAAAACACAAGAAGGAAGCTTCACAGCCTCGCATAAGCGCGCTGCCAATCGTAAAAGAAAACAATTAACCGCCCGATCCAAACGCCCCCTTCAACCCACATCTAGTCGTGCGACTCGTCCATTTGTTCGCGAGTGTCATAATCCTCGTCGAAACCAATGGCGGCAAGGGTCTTCTTCACGCTCTGTTGAGAACTCATTTCCTGTAGCGATTCGTCAGCAAGTTTTGGCTTGGCGGTTCGGTGAGAAGATACATACCACCTCGACGGTTTCCTTGATGACATATCTGGTAACAAGCACCTTCTGGCCCTGGCCGAGGCGAATGGCGCGGGCAATCGCCTGATTCTCAACGCTCGGGTTCCACTGCAGCTCGACTATGAAGACGCGATTCGCGCAAGTGAGATTCAGGCTGTTCAAACGCATGTCAGTGTTGCTTTTGAAAGGTAGGGATGAAAACATACCCAAAAGCACCGGTGCCAGTCGTCATGATGAGAACCCTCTTCTCATCTTTCTTCGCGAAATCTCTGAGCATATCTTGACGTTGGCTAAGGGAGCAATCGCCATCGATACGGAGAAAGGGGATATTTGCTCTTTCTAGGTGTTGCGCTACCAGGTGCAAAGTTCTCGTCCAGCACGAGAAGATGATACTGAGAAACGTCAATAACCCTCCAAGATAGATGGTCTCAAGCACCTAATCACGTACCTCTTCGTCTCATTCAGGTCGGCTTTGACATCCTCAATCAATGCCTTCATCTTCGTAGATTCCCCGGCGGCATTGAAGTAAACGTCGTCGTCCCTCTTGGAGAGGGCTTGAGCCGGCGCATCAGCCATCTCCACATCTCCTGAGCCTCCGGGCCCGTCGACCCTCACGACAGGGACACCAGAAGGTAACGCGCGTTGCGCTCCGGCAGACCTCATCCAGTTCTCACACACAGGGCAGTTCCTCGCTTGTGTGCCCGCCGTACCGGCAGAATAATCCGACTGCTCGAGACACTCGGAGCAAAAGACGTGCGCGCACCGCTCCTCGAACTCGTTCCGCAGCCGGCTGGATCCCAGAATGGGCATCGGCTGGTGGCACCCATCGCAGGTGATCTCCGCATTCTGGCCAAGTGCACTGACGACGGCCTCTCGTTCGTCAAGACGGTACGCCCGACGGTGCCAGGAAAAGGGCTTCTGGTACGTCCCGTGGTTGCATAGGATCCGTAGCTGGAGGTTCGCCTGGAACAGCCCAAACTTGGAGCTCTTCTCCACCTCCCCGACCTTTTGCTTGATCGTCCGCATCAGAATCTCCTTCGTCTTGTCGTACTGATCACGCTCTTTCGGGCTGAAATCCAGCTCCTTGGTGACTTCCTCGAGACCAGGGAGCTTCAGGAGATCTTTAGTCCGACGCAGGCAGAGGGAGTCAAGCAGTGTGATCAGCCGCTCTTTGACCTTCTGCGGTTCCTCTTCATTTTGCTCGAACGGCAACTCGATGTACCGCCGGAACTTGGCGGGCTCGTCAAACGGCTTGGCGCGGATGAATGCGAATAGGGCGCCAATATCCGAGAGCTTGTTCTGGATGGGCGTCCCAGTCAGGCACCAGCGGGAGTTCGCGCGCAAATCTCGGCAGGCGTGGTAGAATGTCGTCGCGGGGCGGCGAATGATGTGGGCTTCATCGAGTACCACGCGGTACCAGCCGATCTTGTGAAGTAGAGAGGACTTCTTGTCGAATTCTGCCGAGAGGGTGTTGTAGGTTGTAACGACAATTTGAGAATTTTTGATCTTGTCAATGTCTTTCTCCCGGCCGGGACCATGGTACTTGATTGTTTTCAGGCTACCTTGGATGTGTCTGGTGCTTGTTAGTCTTGCCCTCCGATGTCTTGGTGCGTTGGCCTACTTGTCTATCTCGTCGGTCCAGTTGTAAATGAGGACTGCAAATGTCAGCATCCATTTGAGGACTACCATGCATATGTTCACCTACGGGCGGATGACACGACTACTAACGTCGAGCCAGAATAGGTAATATCCTTGGGTTTGTCGTCGTTGCCGTTCTCCTGCTCTGCCCAATCTCGGCCACTTTGAAGAGTCTTGACAATGAGAGAAAGGATGGACAGGGACTTGCCCATACCCATCTCGTCAGCCAAAATGCCTCCGCCGCGCTCTTCCGGTTTGGTACGCTGTTTGACGTTGGTGATTTTGTGGCGATACCTGGGTTTGTCAGCTTATGCATGCACTACGCAAGGTCGATGTGAATGTACCAATCACTTCCGTCAACCTTGACCGGCTTCCAAAGGCGATAGGGGTCCGGAATCTCACCAGACTCCCTCTGCAACATGAATCCGAGTGCCTCTTGCTGGTGTCTAGTGCAGGTTAGTGGATATGGGTCGATGAGTCTCGTCCAGTGACATACTCACATCAGGAGTTCGTTCTTGAGTCCCTCACCGCCACCCACCTTTTCGAGGTTCTTATGTGTATCCAACCTTTGGTAAACCTCCAGCATCATCTTTCTCAAATTCTCTTCTCTCGGTTGCCTCTTCGCCGCCCCGCCGCCATTGACCTCCCTCACAGCTTCGATGGCCATATCTCCAACCCCATCAAGCTGGAGCACGTGCGGGTTGTCATAATCCACGTCCTTCCTAGGATGCGTCGGCTTTTGCAACCAAAGCTTGCCTTCAGATAACTTGTCGCCAACATATTGCGCAGTTCTCCTAGGTCCGTAGACATTAATGTCAACCTTGACCATCGCTTCAACGGGCTTCTTGGCGCGGCCAATGGTTTCTCGGAGGGTGACGGTCGGCGCGATGGGTTCAAACTCGACGCCAGCTCGGGTCAGCAACGGTGAGATTGTCTTGCCGGGTCCGGAGCGTAGGTAGCCGAAGTCGGTTTTGTCCTTGAAGGCGAGGAGGACATGATCTTGTGAATCTGAGAGTTCGAAGCGTTGGTATTGTGTCTTTCCTGCGGTCATTGCTGCTTGATGGGCAGCGACAAGCTTCGAGTCGATGACGGCCATTTCACCAATCAACTTGACATCCACATTGTAGAGCTGTTATTGTGAGTTGACATTCTTACCACAAAAGATGGTGAAGGGTAGATGGGATGAGATGAAAGTATGAAATATTTAGCATACCATCCCGTAGCAGACTTTGTCAAGGTCTTCATCCCCAGCCGATGAACATGTATCTGAGCCAGTAACGAGAGACTCGGGGTCCATAGAAGGCGAATGAGTGGCAGGCATAGAGTCTGCTGATGATCCTGAACCTGATGGCGACGGCTGGGATACGTACGATCCACCTGGCGAAACCATCGTCATGTTCTGGTCGGCCCATATTTCAAGCTCCGAACCCAGGTTATAAGGGGCATGTTCAGTGCCGAGATTGAGGTCTAAACATGCCAGCTGGTCGGTGGGTTCGAAATGTGTGGCGTCGTAGCCGGAGTTAGGGCCGTTGGACAAAATGCCGTTGAAGAGATCGTTCATAGAGGAATAATCCTCGAGGACGGGGGTTTCGTGTGTGTAATCCATGCCCATCCCCATGCCCTGGAACTGGGTCTGGCGAGGGTAGTTTCCCGTGTAGTCGTCGGCGCTCTGGTACGAGGACCCTGAAATGGAACCGTGAGGGGACATGAACGACGGGTCAGGGTATTGGCTATGACCATCGTCGTCTACATCATTCAGAAGACGCTTGAGAGACATGTTGGTTGACGGGCTTGACGTTGATGTTGACGGGAATGCCTGTCCCGTGTGTTGGTGGGTGGTGTTCATGATTTCGTAAAAGTCCTCGCAACCAGTGCAGAAGAGACCATAACCAGATGATTGGGGGAATTCCAATTCAGTCAATCAATCAGGCTCGCGGCCTGAATAAGAGGCCGGGCGAACCACTTTTGAGCACATGATGGTCGGTGACGTGAGACATCGAAGGCGGCTGTTTGCTGTGCATTTCTGGCGCGTCCTCAACGGTCTCGTGAGGCGCAGTGCGGACGATGGTTTGCGTAGTGCATCGTGCACTCCGAAGAACGCTGAGCTGTTCCCTCCCCGTCCCATAGCGCCTCCCCCGCCGTCCCGTCCGCCAGGAACAGGAACCTAACGTAATGCATGGGAAGGGATGAAGGGATGGGGGGGACAGCCCAGCGGGCATTAGCGGGCTTCGGGCTCGTGCGAACCACGAACCAACGGTACGCATAGTGGTCCGCAGGGCTCCGTACTGGCGTAAGGGACACCGGCACTCGCAGTCTCCCGCCTGGGGGGCTGGTGTTTTTTCCACTTTCCTAGCCCTGGAGCAGCAAGTCAACGTGTGAGTGTGTCCTGTGCTGTGCTTCGGGTTGTTTGTGTGCGTGCGTCCACTGTTTGCACTGCCTCCCCGAGGAGCCGCAGCGGGACCACGGCCACATCTCTACCCCTGTCTATCTGCTCTCACCGTCGGGACCTCCTAGGGGCTCCGCCACAGCACCTTAGGAGGGCTCTCCAAGTTCCAGCACTACTGCGTATGCTGCCGCAGTGCCAGCGGTGGCCTCTCGGTGTCCCCCGACCGGGGAATCAAGAGCCTCAATGACGAGGGGTCTGTTCCCACTTGCCGATGCTTGTTTCTCTTGGAATGTTCGGAGAGGGCTCCGATCATGTTGGGGAAGATGACGTATGGTTTAGACCTCGTGATGCTTTCTTTCATCTATCTTTCTCCGAGGATTCGTAAGGCAGTTGTTGTATCTACGGTGAGTACCGATGAGAGACAAGATGAAGAGACACACAGAGGCAGACGCAGAGACAAGACGCCTGTCTATTGACTTGGCTGTCACTAAGGAATCCAAGACACAAAACTGCCTGACAGCCTCAGAAAAGTACACTGCAGAAAGGGGTGGGATATCACCCCTCACGCATCTCCAATCCCCAAAGAGATCTCCTCAAATGCCCCTCATAAGGCTTCATAAGGCGTCCGGCGGGGGAGGGGTCGCGAGGTGGCCGGAGCAGCCCGCGCGTCTGCGCGTCCCCAAATGCCATGCTGCTGCTTGTGACTGCTGGACATGGGTGAAGCATAATGCAGCCCTTTCGCCAGTCTCCAGCCTCCAGAACGCAGCCCCATTCAGGGTTGTGCGGGTTCTTCTCGACTCAATGCTAGAGAAGTGGCTTCTGTGGACCGCAAGACATCATCAGCAAAGAGAATACGTGGAAAGATGGAGAGCGAAGCTCGCAGTGGCAGTGCAGTTCGGCTGCCTAGCGCCTCATGCCACCCCTGCCGATTGCTGTGTCTTTTCTTTACCCCTGTCTCTTAGGCGGGCCAGCGATATCATCAACACCAATGGGCCACCTCGTGTCCTCGACGTTGAGCTGACAGGGGTTGCTCAGACGGGGTAACATTTTCGGGATAGTACCGCCTGACTGGCTGCCTCTCTCTGTCTCTTTTCGAGAAACGCATCAGCCTCAATGATGTCGACTGCTCGGATGGTCCCGTTGTGCAAGATTGCGGGTTTCTCAGGACCCTTTCTTTCCAGCCCAGTCTCGTCTAGTTTCCTTCTTTCATAGCTTTCCTTCTTGGATTCTGCAATGTCTCCCAGCTAGCTCTTTGTTGTGTTGGCTGGTGAACTCAACCGAGAACATTGAACCCACAGCAGCGGCATTGGGTGCAATCCACGGGCCCCGAGTCAGCAAACGACCCCGGAATCCCACCGGCGAAAACAGCCATGTCTAACGGCCCCGGGCCCGGCAGCGTCCGCTACGGAGCGGAAGCCGGCTTTTTCGAAAAGGAAGCCAAAAACTTCAAGGCAACTCTCAATACCAAAGATGCCGAGGATTTTGAGAACAGCAGCTTCGATCTCGTTTGCCGAGAGCTCTTTTCCCTGCAGACCCAACAACAGGCCACGAAGAACCTAATGAACATGAAGAGACTGCAGAGGTTTCTCGACGGGATGGCTGCTCTACAGCAGGTACTCACACGGCTGGAGTTTCAAGAAGTGGACAGTATCATGGCATGTATCTGGGGCCCTATGAGGTTCTTCTTCAAGGTATGTCCTATTCATCATGCCCCTTTGCGACTGTCAATCATTCGCACGGGTACTAATGCATTGTACTCAGGCAACCAACATCAACGAACGGGCCTTCGACGATATCCTCGACGTCTATTACCGCCTCGGTCTCAGCATCCCGCGATTCACTGATTATATGCATGTTTTCCGGTCATCGCAAAATAGAATCATGTGCCTAGTGAACACGTACAAAGATGTCCTCGAATTTCATTCAATAGCTTACAAACTCTTTTCTCTCCGAAGTCAACGTAAGCTACCTATTACCTTCTTCCTAGTGCAACATTGACAATCTGACTTGTTTCATAGTATGGGCAAAACTTCACAGAGCGACCTGGAAAGACCTCAACCCAACCTTCGATCACATATCCTCGACCCTCAAGCTCCATGCCAAATGCATAGAAGACCACGGTTCCTTCGTGCAGCAGCGCATAGACTCAGGCTTCGACGACCCATGGAGAAACGATGCGAACCATGACCGCGACAACGAGTGCCGGGTCTACGAGAAGACCTATAAAGAATCCCAGGGGGATTTCAGAGAGAGAGAAAAAGAGCGCAAAACCGAGCAAAAGGCGAAGATCATCAAATGGATCTCAGCACTGACCGAGAACGATACCCTCCACATGTCATTTCAGAGGAAGCGCAGCTGCTGCCCGGAGAACGGCGAATGGCTTTGGCAGCAACATGATGAGATTTCCAATTGGATGCGTGAGGACATCCCCGGAGAGTCGACAATCTGGATCCATGGCCCTCGAGGCATGGGCAAGACCATCCTCGCGTCCCACGTCATAGACCGCCTCAAAGGGTTCGCCGAAGAGGACCCCGAAGTGCCTTCCGACTCCCAAGTTTGCTACTTTTACTGCCAAGAAGATGACTTTGAGAATAACAACTACCTTGGCATCTTGCGAGGAATTCTCCACCAGCTCGTTTCCTCAGCCGAGGTTCCTAACGATGGCGTAAACCCCGAGCAAAATATCGCAAACAACAATCTGGCTATACTACCTCTCTGCGAAGATAAAATGACGACGTCGGGTGGTTCAACGCTTACCAACCCAGACGTAGCGACATCTCTGATCGACGTCTTCTTCGAGAACACCTCGCGCCAGTACGTCGTCATTGACGGACTGGAAGAATGCAAGGCCACCACGGAAATCACCCAGACTATCAACTTCTTCACAAAGACGGTAGCCGCTTGTGAGGAATTGAACCAGGGACAGTTGCGGGTGATGTTCATGAGCCAGCCGAACAAGGACATTCGTAAGTGTATGGAGAAAAACGGTCTGTCGCCGAATTCAGGGGAGGTTGAGCTGGATGCAAAGGAGAACGCAGAGGACATCCGCAAGTATGTAAGAAACAAGTTGAATTCCCCGAACGGAGACAGGTTCAACCTGTTTGAACGGGAAAAGCAGGAGATTGAAGACAAGATCGCATTCATGAGTGAAGGTACGTCTAGAACGGACATTCTAAACAATGACAACTGACGAATGCTCCAGGCCTCTTTCTATACGGCCATCTGGCGGTGGAGAATCTCCTCACACAGCTCACTAAGGCAGCTCTTCTTGACATGGTGAAGCCGGGAATGCTTCCAAGGGGCATCAAGGATATGTATGTCCTTCTTTTTGCTGAAACATCCTCGCAATATACAACCACTGTAGCTTCCCTGGTTGAATCATGTAGCTGACATCAATCTAGCTACGCCAAACTCCTAAGAACCCTGAGAGCTCGTCTCGAAGAAGATGGGACCTGGGAGGTGGGAAAGCAGCTTCTAGGCTGGCTCATATGCGCTCACCGCCCCCTGAAGCTGCACGAGATGGACGCAATCCTCTCATTCTACCCAGACAGAGAGGTAGTAGACTTTGACCTCTACAAGCTTCGGGAAGGCGTTACCGATATCCTGGGTTCTCTGGTGCAGGTCTTGCCCGGGGACAACATCCGCCTCATGCACTCTACAGCCAAGAAGTAAGTTACCACCACACTGTCGCATCTCTGGCAGGCGGCTAACAGAACCAAAGATACCTTGCCGAGACCGACGACTTTGACGTGAAGTCAGTGCAATGCGACCTCGCGACCCGCTGCCTCCGCTACCTCTCTCTCCGCTGCTTCGTCGCCAACGACTACACCGAAGCCGAGCGACAAGAACATATCGTCCAAGGCTACTTCTCCTTCCAGGACTACGCGATGTCCCAGTGGTACAAACACATCATCAGTGTCCTTGAGAGCTGCCGCTCCGTCTTCGATACCGATACCCCCCATTTCCAGAATCCTACCGCTGCTGCCTTCCAAGTAGCCCTTGAAAAGTTCGTCTCCTCCCACGACAAAGACCTCAAGCCACTCCCCGAGCCCGATGTCCCCTCGGACCTCGACCGCACGTACATCGACACTTTCATAGACCTTCACTCCATCTATCCCGCCCTCCTCCGGCTCTGGAACCACATCTACCTTCACCAAAAAGAAAGCGCGGAGGAGCGCAATAGGGTCGGCATTGCCCGCCTCGATGACACTCTCAAGTCCCATCGGGCTGTTATCGAAAAGGACTTCAAGCCGGACAGCAAAACGGTTAACAACGACACGATGGAGGGCTACTATGGCCCCAACCTCTTCAAGTGCTCCCGCACCCTCTGCAAGTTCTTCCACCACGGCTTCAACAACAAAAAGGATCGCGACTCCCACCAGAACCGCCAC